TTACTTCAAAATTTGATTTGACATACATGAAATTGTCGCGAATTAAATTTTCTCTATTCCTTTCGATACCCGGCGTATCTACTACCAACCAATATCATGACGTCACAACATATACACTTGCAATATATCCCAAAGTGCATTGCGATACCCCAATAATACCTCCTTAAACTTTTAAGATTATTAAGAAGTAGACGTTTGTTCGTCTGGAAAATGACTAAATAGTTTATGTGGTTATAAACAGTATGGGTTATATCGCGGAAAATTAACTTGAATAAACAGTCTGCAACCGTCGTATTTACACTGTTGTGAGCCCCAGATTAAAGGTTTGATTATTGGCATAATGCATTATTTTTCAACATAATTCCCTTCAGTATCTATACACTTTTGAAACCAAAGTTTTAAAAAGTTATGCATAATATGTGCCACTGATTGTAGTTAATCCTTCAGAAAGCCATCAGCATCCCAGAAAACCGAGGCCATAACCTTTCCAGCTGATGGGACAGTCTTTGCCTTCTTTGGCGGGGTTAACCAGAGTGCCTCGTTGTTTGGACAGGTGTTTGCCCTCTTGGGTGACATGATGGATCTACGTTTCATCCATAGTTACAAACCTCTGCAGAAAGTTAGGGGGATCTCCCTCTAAAAGGTTCAGATTAGTATGCGACAAAGTCCGCTTGGTGTGCTCCTAATCAACTGTCAGAATTCTTGGTACCGAAAGGGCTGAGAGCTTTCTCATCGCAAGATCTTCCGTAAGAATGGAAAGTAGTCTTTTATGTGAAATTTCCAATTGTACTGGCTATATATCTCTCTGTAACCCGCCTATCAGCCAAAGCAATATTATGGAGTTTATTGACAGTGAAAGGCCTTCCAGGACGGGCGTCATCCCCAAGGCTCTACCTGTAATGCTTAAACTCTGCCACCCATCATTTTACTGCAACATATGAAGGGGCATCATTCCCTAGTGTTACTACTATATCAGTATGGATATCCTTGGGGGCTAGGCCTTTCTCATGCAAATATTGAATCACTGCTCTTTCAGCGATTTTGTCCGCTTTGCAAGAGTGTCACCTCTTCGATATATACTGGACAAAATAAGTTAAGGATCATAAATTGTGACCATAATATCTTTAAAAATTCAAATCATGTATTGCCGGTAATTGCACTCGTAGTTTCTCCAATATGTACCTAAAGTCATGTCAAAGGTGAAAGCATGTGCATCTGAAGGTCTTGCCGTTCCGCTCTAGTTAACTATGGTGGTGTGAAAAACTGACTGGTCTATTACTACAGAGGAATCTTGCAGGTTTTGATTCTGTTACTTCTAAGCTAAAAAAAGTTGAATTTGGAAACATTTAATCAATTTGTAACGAAAACTTGAAAAACTAATCATGCGAAGACATTTAAATGATATGGAAGCCGCGCGAGCTATAGGGCTCCTTCAAGCTGGTCAAACTCAACGAAATGTGGCGGCACAGCTTCATGTTTCTCAGAGCGTGATTAGTAGGCTATGGAATCGCTATCAACAGACAAATAACGTCCGTCAACGCCCCAGATCTGGACGACCACGCTGTACGACAGCCCGACAGGACAGATTCATTTGCATCACGGCACGACGTCAGCGGTTTTTGAGTGCTCCTGTCTTGAATCTTCAGTTTCAGCGTGCTACAAATCTAAGGATTTCATCCCAGACAATCAGAAACAGACTCCATGCCTCTAATTTACGAGCTAGAAGACCAGCAGTCCCACCAATTTGATCCAGAGGTCATCGACAATCCAGACATCAATGGGCCACTCATCATTTGAATTGGCAATTACGTCAATGGAGAAATGTTATGTTCACAGATGAGTCTAGGTTTTGTGTTGACTTCCATGACGGTAGGAGGAGGGTATGGAGAACCCAAGGAGAGCGCTATGCAGACTGCTGTGTTGTCCAGCATGATCGCTTTGGTGGTGGGTCAGTGATGGTTTGGGCAGGGATCAGTGTTGACTTCCATACAGACCTCTACATCATAGACAATGGATCTTTAACAGCTGTTCGATACAGGGACGAGATTCTACACCCTATAGTAAGGCCCATTGCAGGAGTTGTTGGCCATGATTTTATTCTGATGGATGATAATGCTCGTCCTCACCGTGCTCGTGTGGTCAACGACTATCTTCAACGTGAAGCAATCGTTCGCATGGACTGGCCAAGTCGTTCTCCTGATCTGAACCCTATCGAGCATGCTTGGGACACCTTGCAACGCCGGGTTTCAGCTCGACCTAATCCGCCACAGAACCGCCAACAGCTTATGATTGCTCTGCAAGAGGAATGGCAGCGCATCCCACAGATCAGCCACCGACGACTAATAAGGAGCATGTGCAGACGTTGCAGGGCAGTTATTGATGTCAACGGAGGTCATACTGCCTATTAAACTGCCAATTGCAGTTCGATGAGTTTTCCTTGTCTACATGATTAACTTGCTCTACTTCCTCTTACACTTTGATTTCAAGGGTGCTGTTACTCAGGGTTATCTGCTCTTGGTAGCAATTACCACAAATGAATTTGTTTTGTGTAATTAAAGACTAAAATGAATGTTCTGTCATTAAAATTTAAAATATAATCATATTATTATTTGTATGTAAAACTGCACTGTTTCAAGTTTATGATCCTTAACTTATTTTGTTCAGTTTAAATTGACCAAATGACACCAGTCTTCGGGTACACAGCCTTAAATAGTCAGGGAATAGAAGCGCTAAAAAAATAGCTCCGCAAACGCGAGCAATACACCACAGCCTTATTATAAAGTTGGAAATGTGTGTTTGGGGTGAGTGGAAAGTTATCTCAAGAATGGGTTGTGTAGGTCCAGAGGCCCAACATCCCCAGTGAAAATGGTGATGACCGGTGATGTAGTTTTTGAGATAATAAGCGGTATGCAATTGTGGACGGACAGACAGACAGACGGACGGACGCCGTGCGTGATCGCAATACCCCACATCCTTTCGGGCTGTGGGGTAAAAAGGACGTTACTGCTTACCTTCTGCAATAAGAGGCTCACAACTTATCAATCAGGTCTCCTACTTTCACTTTTCAGCTACCGAAGGGGTCTCCTCAGAACTGTGATATCAGTGATAACTGTATATAATTTGGCTACGATATAGGCATTAAACCTCTCAAAGGCACAAATGTTGAGTCTTTTGTTGATAATGTCAATGATGCCGATATAATTTGCATGACATAGAAATTGACCCTGACCGTTAATTTTAGTAGTCTTTGAGCTGTTTACAAACATGTGATGGTTCTGTTAAGGAATGACAACTCTGAGATTGCCAAGTACCAGGTGTACAACGCCGACCACTATTATGACGTCATAACATATACATAAGCATACATAAAATCAAACAATATCTGCCATAGTGTGCCGCGGTACCCCAATAACACCCTTGAATACGGTTCATGCCATTTCAAGATTCTTGAAAAACGTATTTGTGTCCAATGATAAAGAATTTCATCATTTTTTTCTCTGTTTTGTTATTTGGGTATTATCAGTTTTGCAAATAGATGTTTTTTCATCTTGAAAATAAGTTTATATGGTTATAAATGTTAATGATTTCACGGAAGGTGTAACTTGAGTAACAGACACCAACTGTCGCGTTTACACTTTGTACTTTCATTTTTCCACTACCGACATGTTCTTGATAACACAATGATGTACTGTTAGACTACAATATTAGTGATACGCAAACATCTAAAAAAAATCAAATGTTTTTTACGCTGCCCGATGGCAAACAAAACAGTCTACACTTGTGCCCTTCATTAGTTTGTTAAGAATGATATTTACAGAGGTGTATTGTGACTGTTAATTAACGACAACTCTAGTAGAAATTGAACGTCAACGTCATAATAATTGTGCGACTGATCACTCACTGAAACGCGCCAAATTATATTCATTTCTTGAAACACTAAACATTCAAACTATTTCCATCATTCACTGCCTCACTCAAATGGTATTTAACTCAACTTGCGGTTACACTTTAATCCTTTAAACAGTGCTATCGTGTTGTGTACATAAAACAACGCGATAACGCCAAACCCATGAACTCTGTGACAAAGTAAATAAAACACTTCCTGGTTGTTTTATAACAATCAGTATTTGAATTGCAAATCAAGATTTTTTTATCGGTATTACTTTGGATCTTTTTAACACTTATTTGTTCATATCAATTTATTTTCGTCTTTTGTTCCGAATTCTGTTTGTCAATGGCGGATCAAATACTTAATCAATAGTTCAAAAGTTCAGATTCGCTTAAGTATTAACATAACAACGTATATATAAACAATACGATACGATGTTTGATGGATCCAGTCAGCTATTTATACAATATTTTTATCGCTGACGGATATTAGTGAAATCATTGCTGTGAAAGGCGTTTCATAGTTCTTATCGAAATCTTATCTCTCACAATTTTTCATCTTAGGGCATCGTTTTCGAAGTATTTTGTGACGGTTCACATTTTCAAAAAGCGCTGTAAACCGAAAATTGAGTAGAAAAGATAAAAATATCCGGATATGACTTGCTAACGAATGCCTTTCCGACATACGTATGATCGTCTTATTCGCATGAATCACAGCATTGTGAATCCTTTTAAACATTAATTTAAAGTAGGTCCATTGACATGTTACCTTGAGTTCTTATTTACATAAAAATGAGAAGTGTTTCGTTGATTAGATAAAAATGAAGGGTACAGATTTTAATTGTCACGAGAATCGTGACTCAGGTTTCCGAAACGAACCCGGCAGTTGTAAAAAGTGTTATAATAATTCGCAATAAAGTTCGATAGGTATATAATACTTACACGCGCAGTAACGGGACAAATCCAGTCATTGTCATAATTTCGACTACTCAGAGACCTTGTCGACAGAAGAAGCAGAAACTTGAAAATTAACCTATCGAAATATCACGAGGGAATTTCCGGCAATATTCGGAGTTAATTTTCTTAAGATTTGAATATTAGAGAATACTCACCGATAGCGCCCCAATCTATATGTACGGGATTGTTGTACCAGCCATCCTGTGGACTGTACTCGATCTCTTCGTGTTCAGATTGGCACCCTGTAAAAAAAAAAAAAAAAAAGAGAGAGAGAGAAAAAACAACTTCTGGTTGTGCTCATTCAACGCTTCCAGTAACAGCTAAATGCCAGATGCTTCAATATTATTAGAACTGGTATGATACGATACCAAGAAAGTATGAAAAGGAAATTAATCTTAATGATTTTCATTTTTTTCATATCATAAAAGTTAATATTTTTACCAATAAAGAAAAAAATCAATACCTGTTATATCAATACGGTTAATATATCCTATACCGTTGTACACTATATATATGAGGAAATGTAAAAATGAGTGTTGTTCCGTTAAATGTAGAACATTATATTGCGTTAACACACGGTAAAAAAAAGTAGATCGGACTTGAAAATGCACCTTGATGTACGTGTATAATATAACTTCCGTTTCGTTTTACATGGATAAGTTCCAAGGTCGCCCACTGGCACCGATCGTCTCGGTTTAAAACGTTGCGAAAACAAGACCAACAGAGAAATCTGGTTCTATTTGAATAACGTATAAAAAAAATTAAGGCAAATATTCATAGTAACAAAATTACTTTTCTGAAGACTCCTGTCGAAGAAAGTGATTTTATTATAGAGATCAAAGAATTATCTGAGTAAAGATAAGAAACTTGTGTTAAGAATAAACTTATTGTTACCTAAATATCTGGTAATTTATTTCATATGTAGAAACTACATGGTCGGAATCTTTAAAGTTTAAACTGTATTTTGGCAAATGACAAAAATGACAAGCATCTGGCTTTTTAACAGTTACTCATATTAAGATTAGCGGAAAGAAAGTCCTCTCACTTCTAAAGCAAAATGTCGGCTGTAAAACCATGTCCAGGTTGACGTCATCAGTCAATATGGGTTGTACCCGGATGTCACCCTAATTAAGCAGAGGTCACAACACAATTTCTGATCTAGCGAAGCTTTATACCGGTAACCAACCCCTCCCAGAGTGCATTGCGGTAACACAACAGGAAGTGATATCTTCTTCTGTATCCGATATCTTCAACCAGGAACATAGCTGCTGCATACGTTTATATATTGATAACCAACGTATACCATCTAAACAAACAAGATGATCATATCTCTAATTAAATGTATCGTGTGTTATGTACATGCACAAAAACAAACCTCTAGAGGCTTTTTCCCCAGTGACCTTTATTTTACATTTACTACTTTTTCACAAGATACCTCATTTTACCAGCTGTTCCAAAATGTTTAGGATAATCGATTCCATTTTATACAATGGTGCAGTATTTTATGCATAAATATACACACAAGGAAGGTTGCAAATTCCACTCATAAAGTTTATGTTTGAAAAATCATTATTGGTTTGAAATGATATCAGACAAAACTTTTAGATTTTTTTTTCAAAATTTAAGAAAGAAACTCATACAATATCAGTAGAGATGTTGGATTCTCCCCGCATTTTTAACAGGGGTTAAACGTTTTCTGTGTTTATACTAGGGTTTAGCAATAGACAGATTGTGATATAGGGCATATCTTGATGCCAGGAATACTCAACAATTTTTTTTTAAAATACATATAACTTATATAGTTACTATACAAATGTGGACAATATCAGATTACACATAATAGGTACCTTTTTGGTATGTGCTACCATTGTAGAGTAGAACAAAAGTATTCTACAGAACCTGTACAACTATGTAGTTGTATTCTAGTGAAAGAAATAAACACATGCGTCATTAAATAGGACTGTAGGCGATTGAGGAAGTGATTGTCGGCTGTGATATTTTACATTATAAAATTTAACGAAAAAGCACACAATTTATGGACGAATGCACTTTGACACCATTACCTATGGTGCCCGTGCAAGATGTGATGCGTGAAGAGTACTAACAATGAATATCAATTCCTTCAACACGGAAGTAGTTCACTTTAAGTTAAACTCGTTGTCTTAATAATTAAGATTGATAGTTTAAGATTCCAAAAATATCTTTTGTCCCATATATCGAAACTCATGAATATATCAAACCCCTTGTTTTTACAATTACAAAATAATTTTTCTGTGAGCTCCGACATTTATACTAATTGTAGCAATGTGGTTTTGTTAAAAAAAATCCCTCTAAAGTCTTAAATTTCTGAAACGAAAAATCAGGGAAGCGGAGAAAACAGGTTTAAAACAGTATCATTTTTATTACATTTCCATCTTATCTCGTTGTTTCCACCTTTTATTTTATTATTTATTTTTCCCCTTTTTGATCATATTTTATCACTTAAAGGGACTAAATGGTTGGATTTCATTATTTTTTCCATGCGTTTGATTTCGGGCAACCGTTCTTATATTTAAAATGAGACTATTTACAAAATTACACTTTTTGAGAACAATTGATACAGATTATCCACTTCAAACTATCGCTGGTTAACACTCGCTGTTGTGTCTGTTTTTATCGGAGAGTTCATCACGTGACCTTTCGGAACATCGTTTTAACCCGCCGAAAATGGAATTCGAGGAATTTGTAAACACTAGTCACGAATAAGTGATTTATTTGAAAATGCATGACTTGTATGATCTCTAGGAACACCCGTCACACTTTATTTATTTCCGTTATCTTCGCACATTTCAAATCACAAATTATTTTCATGTCTTTCCTAGTACTATCACTTTAGTGAGATTAAGGACCTCTTCGATTTGGAATCCGCAATCTTTGTTATGATTGCTAAAAATTTCGCATCGCGCAGGCGTAAAGACATTGTTTACACTTTCCGAACTATTGATTATCAATTACTATTGGGTCGCTCCTATTTTATTTTGATTTATTGACGCTTTTATTAAAATGGTTGTTTAAACTTTTAAATATTGTAATTTACAGATAGTACACATATTTTAACAGATATTAAGATATCATAATGCTTTTTTTTATCAGTAATAGAAATGAAAATCTAACCATTTAGTCCCTCTAACACGAGGAGAATACATCAAAGGTCGACGATAAGATTATGTAATTATCAACAGCTCATCATTGACGTTATACCCTAATATGTGATACACAACCGAAAGTACATCTTGAAACAGGAAGTAGATCTAGAATTTCCAGGAAAATGTGTATCCGTGATGATGCTACACAGTCATCTCTGATAAGAGATATAAACAGTTTAAATAAGTTTATGTTTCGATACGTCCTGGTTGCGAAAATGGTTATAGGTGTACATGTTTGTTGATACTTTAAATGACAAAGTATACGTGACAGCTATGAATGATATGCACCATACAGACAAGTCATCTGAATAGGTGTGAAGATGAAGTGAGGAAGGTAGGAATAGAAGACAAATTAATTATCCTTAATATTTCAGTCCATTTGCTATACTTTATGTGATACAAGAAATTCGGTTACGTATGTGTAATCGAGATTATAGTGTTACTACCCGATATAATTAAGACTAGGCATCGGGTTCCAACAACAACTTCACAAATACCAAAAAAATACACTAAAACCACAGAAAGGTTACCACAATGGCGGGTTACCATATGTCCACTGAGTAACAGTGGCAGGTTACCATCAATCCACGAACTGAATACAGGTGATTTATCACAAATACACTGTCTGAAAAATGGCAGGTTACCACAAATCCACGGACTGAACAATGACCGGTTACCACAATTCCACTGACTGAACAATGACCGATTACCACAAATCCACGGACTGAACACTGGCTGGTTACAACAAATCCATGGACTGAACACTGGCTGGTTACAACAAATCCATGGACTGAACACTGGCTGGTTACAACATCTCCATGGACTGAACACTGGCTGGTTACAACATCTCCATGGACTGAACACTGGCTGGTTACAACATCTCCATGGACTGAACACTGGCTGGTTACAACATCTCCATGGACTGAACACTGGCTGGTTACAACATCTCCATGGACTGAACACTGGCTGGTTACAACATCTCCATGGACTGAACACTGGCTGGTTACAACATCTCCGTGGACTGAACACTGGCTGGTTACAACATCTCCGTGGACTGAACACTGGCTGGTTACAACATCTCCGTGGACTGAACACTGGCTGGTTACAACATCTCCATGGACTGAACACTGGCTGGTTACAACATGAACACTGGCTGGTTACAACATCTCCGTGGACTGAACACTGGCTGGTTACAACATCTCCGTGGACTGAACACTGGCTGGTTACAACATCTCCTGAACACTGGCTGGTTACAACATCTCCATGGACTGAACACTGGCTGGTTACAACATCTCCATAGACTGAACACTGGCTGGTTACAACATCTCCATGGACTGAACACTGGCTGGTTACAACATCTCCATGGACTGAACACTGGCTGGTTACAACATCTCCATGGACTGAACACTGGCTGGTTACAACATCTCCATGGACTGAACACTGGCTGGTTACAACATCTCCATGGACTGAACACTGGCTGGTTACAACATCTCCATGGACTGAACACTGGCTGGTTACAACATCTCCGTGGACTGAACACTGGCTGGTTACAACATCTCCATGGACTGAACACTGGCTGGTTACAACATCTCCATGGAATGAACACTGGACTGAACACTGGCTGGTTACAACATCTCCGTGGACTGAACACTGGCTGGTTACAACATCTCCATGGACTGAACACTGGCTGGTTACAACATCTCCATGGACTGAACACTGGCTGGTTACAACATCTCCATGGACTGAACACTGGCTGGTTACAACATCTCCATGGACTGAACACTGGCTGGTTACAACATCTCCATGGACTGAACACTGGCTGGTTACAACAAATCCATGGACTGAACACTGGCTGGTTACAACATCTCCATGGACTGAACACTGGCTGGTTACAACATCTCCATGGACTGAACACTGGCTGGTTACAACATCTCCATGGACTGAACACTGGCGGATGACCACAAAATAACCAAAACTACTCGGAGGTTACAACCAATCTATAAACACCTTGGCGTTTGGCTAAATCCATTGGTAGGTAACCATAAAAAATCCACAAATACTGCTAGCGGGCAACCACAAATCCATTAACAACACTCATGGGTCTTCACAAATCAAAATAGAACAATTGGCGGGTTACCAGAAATCCACAAAACAACTTGCTGGTACCATAACTCCACAATCACTACTAGCTGGTTGCCACAAATGCACTTACAACACTCATTGGTTTTCAAAAACCAACTAAAACCACTTGCGGTTTACCACTAATCCACAAACAAACACTGCTAGCGTTTATTACCAATCCAGCGACGAACTTCCGGTGCCACTGGCGAATTACCAAAATCGACTAAAACCCTTGCAGGTAACCACAGATCCATTTACAACCATCAGGACTTACCACAAATCAAATAAACCACCGACAGGTTACCAAAAAAGTCTACTGAAACCACTTGTATGTACAAAAAATCAATAAAAACCACTGGCAGTTTACCGGCAATCCACAAACACAACCGTCGGGTTTACACCAATCCACAACCTCCACAAGCAGGTAACAACTACCTCACTAACATAACTGGTAGGTCCCCACAAATCCATAAACAAGGCTTGAGGGATACCACGAATCCATGAACACCACTTGAGGGTTACCTCAAATTTATGAACAACACATTAAGGATACCACAAATCCCCGAACAACGCTTGAGGGTTACCACAAATCCATTTACAACACTGGAGAGTTACTATAAATCCATCAGCAACATTTTATGGTTACCACAAATCTACAAAGCCGTCGATGGGTTACCACAAATTCATGAGAGGAGGGGGTTACCACGAATACCTAGAAACTATTTGCAAGTTTTACAAATCAACTAAAACCACTGGTGGATTTCTAAACATCACCTTAAACAACAGGGATGTTTCCACAAATCAAAGTACATACTTGGCTAATGCCACAAATCCACTAACAACACTGGCGGGTTACAGCAAACCCACTTAAACAACTAACGAGATACCACAACTCGCTAAATCACTAGTTTATTCCCCACCACTACACGTGAATCCGCCATCATTTGTTTAAATCAAGACACATTTAGTTTGTTATCCTATAAAATATTAAAGCGACTCTTCAGCATTACTAAACTATTTTTGCGATTCTGTGAATTCCTATTGCTTTATATGGCAGACAATAGACCGATACTACATGTTGTGCAGTTTCACTAAAAGTTAAATTACGAAGGGCATCTGTACGACAAATGGACGATTGTGTATGGGGGTGGTAGTTGTATATTGGCTGGAGCTTTAATCCAGGATAAAATGGCAGTTGTAACATGAAAAAACGCTGTTTTACTAGCAGGTGATCCAAGCGTGAAGTCAAGCCATACACACATACCACATATGCATATCGTCATACCGCACTCACTGTAGGCTTTAAACTATAATTCGTTTTTTAAAAGGTATATAAGGTAAATTTTCCTATTTTCTGAAGTCTGAAATGTTTTTAAATTGAGAAGAGAAGACGCGAGTGGCCTGTTTAGTCGATTCGTCTATATATGGTCAATTTCTTTTGCAAGATGACAAAATGAAACCAGAATGGCTTAAAATTTCTAGTGTATATTAATCATGAAAATGATACTCACATGCAAACGGCAGAAGCAGAATTAAAAGCCAGTGTATTATCATTGCCATGCCTACTTGTAGCTCTCGTCCACGGACGCAACCCGTCGGAATGCTGCCGGGAACTACACACCGACAGCTTTATACCTATCCTACTAGGAAGTAAATTGTCGCACAGCGATCGAGAACAATGAACGTCTTTCGGTTTATATATATAGGTAAATATTACATTAATATACACGTACATGGCTACCTGTACCACAGTAGGTGCCATTAACCATAGATTTGGGTGGGGAAATGGGGATTTTCTGCATAAAATACCTGCCGTTCTACCCTTCTGAAACACAGGTAGGGTATATAACTTTAATCAGAAAAGGGGAGACGATTTATGTAGGTCGAATTTGAAAAAAAAATGATAAGGCATGAGGCGGTAACTCGGTGTTGTGGCCAGCATTCCTGGTCGAAGTTAGGTTTTGTAAGTAGGAATGGTTCCAAAATATGACGTCAGCAAATGGACAAGAATCAGTTAAACGGGCCATCTTTTTTCTTTGTCCTCGCAGATTAAGTGTAGGGAAGGGATATTGACTGAGCGTATTTGAGACCATGTCTATCATTGCTGCATGTTAATATACTTTGTCACGCAAATCAAGATCTTATTGATATATTTTGTACTGGAGGATATTTGGATTATTTGTTCAATATAAATACAGTTGTAGATGTATTTATGAATGACATTTTTGTTGTTAACGTGTCTACACACGCTGTCGTTATCTTGTGGTTTCGCTTAGATATGCAGAACGACTGCACACGCTTTTTTTACTGTATACGTTATCGAGCATTCCGTAGTAATATATTCATATCACTTAAATGGACGTAGTATGTACCTAAACTTCCCTTCGATGATGCTATAAACATTATTGATCATTGTTTACAGTATCTTGACTGAGTTCTCAGAATGACACTGCACCTCTCTCATAGCTTCTCGTAAAAGTGAAATCATTCCAGACATTTAACTTCGTTACCAGAACTGAATGTTTTGCACCATGAATATTGATTTTGAAAAAAAAACCATTTGGTTTAGTTTTTAACATACATTCTGAAAAATAATCCGTTTCCAAGATATGCCACTCCGTAAAATCATAGTTTTTTATACTGTGACCCCCCCCACCCACCCACCCCCCCCCTTTCTCCTTCCCCCTCCCCCTCCACTATCCACCAAAGTCCCAGCAGTCAATTTTGAGGCGGGTCTCCAGATTGTTTAACAGATGTATTTCAGTTGGTCAGACTATAATATCTGTTAGAATTCTATTACATGGTTTCTGTGAAACTTGATGGCAGGGTAGCATACATGGTCAGTCCCATCTCATGGTTTTCTTCATACTCGTTGATTTTGCAGTTTGTCGAATGTCCTTTCACTACCGCTAGTCACTAAAGGACAAGTTATGGACGGTCGAGCTCCTTGTTGTCCGAGAGGTAAGAGTGTATGTGTTTTTGTAATGCTTCCTCATGTTCGAGTACACTTCCTTAAGACGGTACAGACACCAACATCAAAGTCCTCCCACAAATAGAAGTATTATCTCAAGGAAGGCATTAAACAGAATTATAATTCAAACATAATGGTGTTCAATACAGTGACAACGTGTAACCGTTGTAACATAACAAATATAACACAGTGGTTGGATACATATAGGTTGAACTCCAACCACTGATAACACAATTTACGACAACTAACTTCTGCAGAGAAAACCTCGGCCTTTCATTCATATAGCACAACACCCCTTCCGATCTACAAGGCTCAAGGGAAGTTAATGCTCAGAAGACGTGTCAATGCAAATTGTGACTTAACGTGACCTTCCGATATTCTATGCTGAGCAATTTTATCTGGTAGGAATAGCTTACATATTTTAATGTCTATGCCTCAATACAAATGAGGTAAAGAACATGCACCCTTCCCATTAAGACATAATATTAATATAAGAACGAGAAAGATGTCCTTCCTCCCCCCCCACCTCTTCCCTATTACATTACATACTTCACTTTATGTACCTCTATGTTGATGGGAGGTAAAGACACACGCACCACCACCACCACCACACACACACCATCACACACACACAAACAAACACACACACACCCTCACACACACACACACACACACACACACACACACACACGCACACACGCACGCACGCACGCACACACACACACACACACACACACACACACACACACACACACACACACACACACACACACACACACACACACACACACACACACACACACACACACACACACACACACACACACACGCGCGCGCACACACACACACCACACACACACACACACACACACACCAGCCCAGCCTCAATGAAGCTAAGAAATGACAATGGTGGAAGATTGAAATCGAATAACGAATGAAACTGCATCGTGCAGCTTATTGTTTTGGTCCTCCTGAGACTCCTAAGTCATGCTGGGGTCTTAGATGAGAAAAAATCAGATGAGAAATATGAAATGAAAAAAAATCATTCAATTAAATTGAATCACTATTATTATAAAACGAGGTGAAGTTTTGAATTAAGATAATTTGTGATTTTGTATTTAGATAATTGTAATTTGTATACAAACATCAACACTTAGATATATTTCATACGATCTTTTTGTTCTGTTTGTTACGATTTGTCTGGTATATTGTGTGATGAGACACAAACCTGGTACGATTTGTCTGGTATATTGTGTGATGAGACACAAACCTGGTACGATTTGTCTGGTATATTGTGTGATGAGACACATACCTGGTACGATTTGTCTGGTATATTGTGTGATGAGACACAAACCTGGTACGATTTGTCTGGTATATTGTGTGATGAGACACAAACCTGTTACGATTTGTCTGGTATATTGTGTGATGAGACACAAACCTGGTACGATTTGTCTGGTATATTGTGTGATGAGACACAAACCTGGTACGATTTGTCTGGTATATTGTGTGATGAGACACAAACCTGGTAAGATTTGTCAGGTATATTGTGTGATGAGACACATACCTGGTACGATTTGTCTGGTATATTGTGTGATGAGACACAAACCTGTTACGATTTGTGGTACGATTTGTCTGGTATATTGTGTGATGAGACACAAACCTGTTACGATTTGTCTGGTATATTGTGTAATGAGACACAAAACAAGAAGGTCAAAGTTCATTTGTGATGATGGTTATTATTTGTCAAAGCATTTGTTTTAAATTTGTAAATCATGATATGATGGCAGTTTGAAGAGTGATAATAATTAAGTCCGTATATATTGGTATTCCAATATATATATATATATGTATATACATATATAGTTTATAGATGGAAGTCCAACTATGTAAAATCCATATGTCCAATGAATATATATTCTTGAGAACAATGGTGATTGATTTGTTACTCATCGAAGCAATGCTAACAGATATATAAACGGATACACGTAAATGAACGATCAAAGCTATAAAGAAATATTGAAATGTTCTTTAAGATATATACATGAAAATTGATTTTTATTTACATGTAACTACAAAGTGTCGATTACTGTCATATTAAACTTGTCATGTCAAACTTATTGACAAATTATCACATAACTTAATTTTCCATGGTGGGTTTTCGACCAGAGTCTTTATGAACAACATATATTTAATACTTCGCTCTACGCGGAAACTGTGTCAGGCACAATGATAAACGGATGGTAAAGTTCCCGTGAGAGAGAATGTCCTTCTATTTACGCGGAAATGATGTTATATCTATCAGTTTTAATACCGTTGCAATCGAACAGGAAAAAATGATAAAATCAAATATATAAACACAGGTTTTCGTCTGTAGATAACGGTATGAAATTGAGAGTGCTTTAATGCGATATTTTGTATGATTGTAACTTCCGTGACCGTTCATTATTATACTGAATTGGAAATCCATTGTTCCAGTAATCGGTGATGGGGAGATATGTCTAGTGGCATTGTCATATCATTTCCACCGTCCATCAATAACGAAAAGGGCGTTATGGAAAAGAGTATTTATAAGTTTAACACGTTGTCTCTGTATCTGAAGTTCGACACTGACAGTCCTCTGTACTATATACAGCTTGAAGTTATCGACTTTGATGGCACGTTATTAAAGAGAACCGTGTCAAAATCTAGATGAAGAATTGCACTAACCGCATAATTAAAAAAAAAACTTTGTAATTTTCATATAAAAAGATCAAGCACATGTATATATTCTGAACCGTGCCACTAATTGCATGAATTAAAACGGAGCTAGTTGGTTACAGAAAACCTTGGGGCACTTAAAATCCGTCAGCAGACAGAAAAACTTGTGGACTTAAAGTCTGTCAGCAGACAGAAAACCTTGTGGACTTAAAGTCTGTCACCAGACATAAAACCTTGGGAACGTTAAGTCCGTCAGCAGACAGACAACCTTGTGGACTTAAAATCCGTCAGCAGACAGAAAACCTTGTGGACTTAAAGTCCGTTGTGGACAGTCCGTCAGACAGAAAACCTACTTGTGGACATAAAACCTTGGGAACGTTAAGTCTGTCACCAGACATAAAACCTTGCGAACGTTAAGTCCGTCAGCAGACATAAAACCTTGTGGACTTAAAGTCTGTCAGCAGACAGAAAACCTTGTGGACTTAAAGTCCGTCAGCAGACAGAAAACCTTGTGGACTTAAAGTCCGTCAGCAGACAGAAAACCTTGTGGACTTAAAGTCCGTCAGCAGACAGAAAAACTTGTGGACTTAAAGTCTGTCACCAGACATAAAACATTGGGAACGTTAAGTCCGTCAGCAGACATAAAACCTTGGGGACTTAAAGTCCGTAAGCAGTATCTTTAAGATTGTACAAAAGACACACAAGTTTTTTTAATGGCACCTTTCAGTGGACATTTAGATACGATACATAAGAGCCAAATGATGAATTGAATTGCATCATAAGCTGTTTCATCTTTCTATTACTTGTCAGTGATGCTAAGGGCCAAAATTTTGAAACCTCGTAGGTATATTGAGGAAAATCTTAGGAAGCATCATGATACAAGATAAAATCTATTTGATAATTTGAAAGGAACAGTATTTACACGTGTATGAATTAAAACTTGACATGCGGTTAACATCGCGGACTTAGAGATTGTACTAAAGACACAAGTGAACAGCACAGTTAAATGCAGAATTACATACTGTAATGCGAGATGATGAAAGGTATCATCATACTGTTTCTGACTACGCTCTTTTTCAACATCTGAGAAATGTCAAAATCGGTGATTCGGCAGCTATGTAAGTGTAAAGTATTGTAATCGACAGTTCTTATATCATCTTATCTCGAAAGCTTCACCTCTCTTTTAGAGTTAAGCTTTCGCGAAAACGCGGCGAGGAGAACAGGGACAAGCGGAAGTTGGAACTCGTTGTCGATGTAACAGTTTCCGCTTTGCTTCTGTTTACACGGAAATAATTTTTTATCTGTCACTTGATATCAATGAAGTCGTACGGAAAATTGATAAATAATATTTATAATAAAAATCAGTAGATGATTATACAAGTAAATATATAAGATAGAGTCTATTTGAAATTTATGTATGTGTTCATTTATATATATCACTACTATATTCAGTGATGAACTGAATATCCGTTAATGTCTAGTGGCCTTATCACATAATTTTCCTTGTCTAACAATATCGAAGAGGGAGTTACGGATAAGAATATCTATAATTTTAACGCGCTATCTTTGTATTTAAACATCGACACTGACTGATTATTATTTGTAATCATCGCCTGTGATGTCACGTAACACCTTGTTATCTCACTGTTACTGTTATATTTATTAGTATATAGTAAACACTAGAGTACATTAAGAATGGTTGCGTAGTTCATTTGCTGACCCAAGTAAAAAACAAAAACAAACATAAACTGCATCTGCTTGAAAAAAGAAGCAGAACTGAAGACGCTATGTTAAATGAGGTCAACGTTATTGGTTTCTTTTACACTTAAAATTATTGACAGGGATAGAATCTTACTTGTCTGTCATATTGTTTCTAATGTTCAGTTGTACATTCTTAGTATGAAGATATTCCAAAAATGAATTCAAATCCCTGCCTGTTGGCATATGTTGCGAATTTTTAGAGAAAAAAGAGACGTGTCATTGAAATTGAAGGAATGTTTGCATGAAATTCCGTCCTTACTTTTTAAAATTTGATTATTATATACTGTTAAGTCGTTAATTTTCGTTGCGGTTTTATCCTCTTTGATTTCGCGGATGTCCTTAATTAACCAACTGAGATGTCCACGATTTGATTAATTGTTCAAGAATGCATATATTGTGGTATTAGTGTATTTCACACTTGTCCATAGATTCATCATATTGTGTAACAACGAAATTATTATTTCTGTTTTGAGTTTGGAAAACTACGAAAATAGATAATTTACAATACTTTACATAGCTTGCACGTGAAACGTATCCATCCAATACAATTCCTGAAATCGCGACCAAAAACAAGTCCTTGTCATCTTATTTAGCATGTATAGACAAACATTGAAGTGTTTCAAGAAAACACACAAAAACGCAATGTTCATTTTTAACATCTGTTTTTTTTTATTATGTTTATTTTTTATGTAAAATAGAATCGTAAACTAGATATAAAAAACACAGAACAAAAACAGTATTAACAAAAGTTTGGTAAGTCCTTGTCTCACTCATATTTATCCACACCTAACATCTATCAGACATTCATATTGCGTTCATCACTGTCATTCGTTTTGGCCAGCTTTCCTAATGGCGAGCTACCAACCACACCTCATTATGACGGTCACGAATTGTGTAGGGGCCGTCGTAACCGCTGAAATAATAATATCTTTCCTCAAAAAGGGACGGGTTCCCTATCTCAGTTACTAGAGATTCAATCATGGCCATCTTGTCGTCAAATGTGGGGCGTCCTCCAAACGTTCTGTAATAAAAATCGACATGTGTAGTAATCATATGTTTACAACTGATAACATCGGGTTTTTTTTTTTTTTGTACATGTGATAAAGCATACATTTTTAACAGTTGATATCAGCCCGAGTGATTTAATTCTGTCGCTTCCGCTCATCGCTCTCTGATTTGAACATAAATATTGCTCGGCAGGAAGAAATGCGGTTTTTTAAATTCTATTTTCTTTCTTTCTTAATTTAATTAATCAATTATTTGTTGTTGTTGTTGTTGTTGTTGTTGTTGTTGTTGTTGATGTTGTTGTTGTTGTTGTTGTTGTTGTTGTTGTTGTTGTTGTTGTTGTTGTTTTGAAATAGAATCACACTCAAATTTCCGGGTAGTGTCGTTTTCGGATGAGTTTCCCTTATTAGTGATACGCCTGCAGTTCGCGAACGTTACGGGTAATAGCTAAGCATAGATATCTCATTCTGATCGCCAAGAGTTACTGCCCTTTTTAGGGGTGTGATATTACAATTTTCATATAATAATCTTTAAATACCTGAACGCCGTTCTCATTGAATAAAAAGAAACATGTGTCTCAAAGTTTTACTAGGGTATATATATATACACATATATATCTATAGTTTGAAATTTATCATTTCGTACATAAAAAATGTCTCATACTTAAATGTGTGTAAATAGTATAAATATGATGAAGTAATTTCACGATTTCTTATAACACAATACTCGTGATACAGGAACATGTAAAGTAACTATCAATTTATTAATGTCAAATAATACATATATATATATGAAGAAAGGGGGCGTTATCTCACTTCAGTATATGACACACGCCGAGGAAAAAATATCAGTTAAGTTCGAATTATTTTTCTTTGGGATATATGATCCAATACAAAATGTAGTTTTAGAGTGTTTCTCCACAAACTACAAATCCTGCTGATTTTGTTATATCACCAATATCTGTGTACCTTTGTCATTAATGGATCTGCTATTGTCACATTAACCTATCATACCTCCTTAACATATTTTCACAAATCATTTTAATAAAGAAACACTAAACAGAGAAGTTGTTGACTATTGCAGCTTGATATATTAGAAAGACAAACTCTATAGTAAGATATCAAAAAGAGTTTTACTTACTTTACATAGACATCAAAGGGAGGTAATTCTGTGATATAAACACTAGGATCTGTTGGAACTGGAGGGCTGGCTTGAAATTCAAATGGTATCATGAAGTGTTGGTAAAAGAAGCTCTCACAAGTTGGTCCTGGTCCGTGTTCTACCTTCAGTAAGACCGGCGCTGTCATTTCAATCTTTGTATCTGTAATAATGTACATGTATCCAGGTGTTTTATCTAATGTTTTTATCATTTAATTATCTGTACACATTTATTATATCTAATGATGAAAGTAACTCCCGTGGAATATTTGAACAGTTTTAACAATTTATTAATCAGCATAAGCAGTGAGGAAATATCTGTGTCACATCTCAATGAGTCTATTGATAGCTACCTACCTTCAATGATATAGATAAAATTACCCTATTACACGATGCAAGTTATGTTAACAAAGGATTCTGACAACAGTTAGGATACAAAATATAATATATTAATACAATTTATTTTAGAATACAATAAGAGACAACGGACGCCATACTCACGTCGGGTGTTGTTGCCAGAGATGTAGTGAAACAATTTGAAGAACATTTCAGAATTATCTTGGTCAGTAAACTCCATAGTGGTTTTGTTGGTAGCAACCCACATGGATTTCTCATAGTGACGTAGTTGGTATCCCTGAAATTGAAAAAAAAAGAAAATCACTCTTTTAATATCTTAATAGGACAAAGGAAATGCGTACTTTAAGATAAATAAGAAACTTGGCTGTTTACAAGAATCCCCTCTTTCTATCTTCGCCTATTTAGGGTGCATTTTCTTACTATTCTCGTTATAATTATGCAGCTACCTTTGAGATGAGAATACGTCCACAAACAAGACATTTCTCAATGTTGATATCATATTTCTGAAAACTGAGAAAACCAAAATTAATCGAAAGCAATGTCAAAAGTCAAAATCTATATGTGGAGATGCCTAAGTCCCATAATTTTTACACATAAATGTATCTGATAGTTTCAAACGAACGTTAAGTACATGTATATATTCTAAAGCGTGTCACTATTCGAAGAAACGTTGCATACAGGGTATGGCAAAAATCAGGGACCAATAGTCCACCAGCTGTGTCTACTATCTGCATTCTAGCAGATTGTACAAAAGACACACAAGTGAATAGCACCCCTTGCTAAACTTAGAATTAGATACACTAGGGCTGAACACTGAAGTATTTGTATCATACAGCTGTTTCGTCCCTCCTTGACTCGTCAGTGATGTTAACTTTGAAACCTATGGAGCGACTGAGGAATTAAGAACCCTCGAAATCAATTCATACTGACAAGAAATCAGGTTAACCGTAATTTTTGCTTATTGATAATGACTTTAAACTTTAAAAGCAGTATGGAAGGGAATTTATCAGCACCGAAATCAAATTAAATCTCTCACATTTTCTTTTAATTTGCACATAATATAGTTATACAATAAAGAGCTCGCTCGTGCTTCCTAAAAGTTGAAACTTAAAGGTCAGGCTAAATAATGAAAATCTTAGATAAGAAGAACCTTCCTAGACTTACCGAGAATGTCTGGACCACACTGAAATGAGGACATTCCAAGTCATGACAGAAATCTGGTGATGCCGTTTGACTATGGACATTGGCCAAAGGATTTACGGCTACTGCGCTTGCAACAGCCACACAAGCGGTTAAATAGACAAAATACTGCATGGCTACAACAGAACAAAATTACGCGTGAGACATTTTGACATATTTGCGAGAAATCTGTAATTTATACTGATATGCCACTTACAGGGAAAAATTAATGGTATATATTTATACGCACATGAGACATTGAGTCATGGATGATGTTGCTACTTCAAATGAAGGTATTGCTATTACACAAAACTCGCATTGTTACAGAAAAAGTGAGCAGGCATTCTGATATGTCTGTATTATCAAGACTTGCAATGACGTAACTTAACTCTAACCATTAACTAAACATTCACCTGTCAATGACAAAATATATTACATTTAAGGTTGACGCTTAATCCGGCATATACATGATTTACTATTGTTTAAACCTGTAAAACTCTTACCTTGTGTTAAAGGCCTCGCTGTGGTGTGAAAGCTTTGGGTGTTGATGTGTATGTAGTGCTCTTCTATCAAAGGGTACGGTCTTATATAGAAACCGCAAATCAGTGCGTTACGAAACATATTTCTTATCGAGCAAACCTTTTAAGTTATGAAAACAAAACAAACATGACCTAATCCCCTTATCTATTCCTCCCGAGTTAGGTCTAGCATACTAAAACGTTGACCCCACTTCCCACTATTTGTCAGTACTTTTCGGATACGAATTCACCACGAATCGGTTCTTTGGCCTTCTTTTTTACCTTCCAATCAATTCTTTATCTGGACTCGTTCATTTTACGTATCCAGCAAGAGGTTAAAAGAATTTTTTCTTTCTTTTCTTTGATTATTTTGTGTGACAGTTTCAACAAATATTTCCAACATAAGTTCAGGATATTCTATGAATTATCAACTATACTTTCTCGCTAATTATGATGTTTTTTCTCCATCATATTGCATGTTTTGCAATTCAAATAAGTACAATGTGCATTTATTCCTAAAAATAGAGCAAAAGTAAAAATATGTGAAAGATGGCATTTGGATAACCCCGTGCAGAAGTCACGTTCAGATACACGTGAAGATGTTTGAATGTCTTTACCCGTGATCGTATCACGTGGCACATGCTGGTCAACACATGATTACAAACGTGACAAGGAAAAGTTACCGTAGTCCTGATAAACGACTGCTTAAGTTATTTTTCACATCCATTATTGAATTAGGAATAAGACTCACAAAATTCGGACATTAAATCTAAATATCGTAATTAATAACAATCTGACAAATCGGCTATAGTCAGTAAACACTGCTTACGACCATGTTTACCTTCGCGTAAAATTCTTCATTTTCGCTCAGTGCTAAATATGCCCAGAAATAATGAAAATAAATCACGTGTTTTGGTGGTGACTTTCAACTTACTCCATCCTTTGTTAATAAAAATTATGAAACGTCCTATATAACATTAGTTTTTATTTTTGTCGTTGGTTAGGTCTAGAAAATAAACATTCTAGACCAGTGAAAAGACAACAAAGACTCAATCGAAACGAGTGAAAATACAACCTAGACTCACACAACCTAGACTCACTCGCGTTCAGTGAACAGACAACCTAGACTCAATCGCGTCCAGTGAACAGGCAACCTAGACTCAATCGCGTCCAGTGAACAGACAACAAAGACTCAATCGCGTCTAGTGAAAAGACAACAAAGACTCAATCGCGACCAGTGAACTGACTGTCTAGTCTCAGTCGTGACCAGTGAACTGACTGTCTAGTCTCAGTCGTGACCAGTGAACGTAAAAGACAAATTAATCATCGACAAAAAAACTCAGGGTGTAGTTAACCATTGATAAGACACGACAAAGTATCATCAATTATTGATAAAAACGACAAAATATTTTCAACAATAGACAAAAATGACAAACTTTATTCAACTATTATCAAAACATCAACAAATCTTATTTAACATTTGACATTTAACATTTGACGAAAATGTTAAACTACATTATAGACGAAACTGGCTACCTATGTCCAAACTGTAAACTACTGACAACAATAATGCCAAAACGTATTGAACTATGACGAACAAACGGCAAACTATGTTCTAGTATATGTATAGACGAAAAAAATAAAACCACAAAATTCAACTGTTTAAAAAAAACACGAACCAGACCCAACCAAGGACAAGGCCTGTGATACAGCACAGTGATATATCAGCAAATATATCTGCAACGAATGGAAACAGCAGACATTTTGTCACCGAAACGTGATATTCATTAGAATATGGCATTCTACTTAAATGAGATATCTAGATTTCTGTACTCACAGTTGGCTTCCGAGGCGCCGTTCTGTGGCAATGTTTGCTTATCATACCAAATTACACACTCATCATACCAAACACATCGCCTCCACCACCCCCCTCCCCGACCCTCCACTCCCATAAATATGACATTATTTAAAATCATATCACAGAATCAACTGTTCAGTTATAATCGCTTTTAGTAAAACACGTCTAAATCTGAATTCATTCCATTTTCCTGATAAAGTTTACTATTTCTATAATATGTTTTGAATTCTTGTTAATTTATACAATTGCTTTGAGATTTTACTACTTAGGTATCATACTTGTCAAAACGTTCAAAACACATTTTCCACTGTACATGCTTAATTTAGGAAACAAGAGTAGTTTCCCTTGTCTGTACTCTTCACACATCACCAAGATGGCTTCCCCAATGAAGGCCGACATGTCATCAAAAAGTAATGTAGCATATATTGATCATGTACAAGTGCGAGATAATTTTAAACGGTCATTTGCACGAACTTTAATGAATACCTGCCAATCCATCACATATTATTTGTAGTTATCGTAGGAAAGAAGCGATCGTGTCGAGTATCGCAGATTTCTGACATTCTGTCGGCCGGTTGCATTTCAGCTGTTGAAAACAGACCAAGCATTTTTTCTTACTCTTTTCCAGTACGTTTAATAGATTGACATGGTCGTTGGAAGCGACGAGTTTGTCATCGACATAACAAAACAGATTTATTTTTCCCTGTTGCAGTCAATCCCTTTTGTCAGCATGCAGCTTTCTAGCATTGATTTTTCTCTTTGCTGTATCAATTTATACCATCTGTGTTGACTATAGATATATTTACCTAATGCATGCTATTAAGAACATCGCTGTCCATTTGCATAACAGATGGGCACAGTATCTTTAATATGATTAATTGGTCCTTTTACAGCATTACCTACTCATGAAACGGACACTAACATATTGTTTGAAAAGTTTACCATCGATGAAATCCGTGGAATTGAAAAGAAGACCAGGTAAGGAACCTATCATAATTATAAAATGCTTTCTAACAAAATAAACAGACACTAAAATACTTCAAACGTCAAGCAGCAATTGTAAAAGTAATTGATTGCTGTTTTATGTGTGAAATACAGTCTCCTCTACACAGCTGAGATATCTTACTTTCCATAATGTTTATGGTAGCACCAAAACTGGAGATCTGGGTTTGGTTCCTGTTAGAGCATGCCATTGGAATGTGATTACCCATGTTCTTTCACACAACTACGTATTAATAAAAGCTATGATAAGTCCATCAAAGTGTTTAACATTTAGTATATAAGCCTAATGACATTTTGGCTAGATGAACATAAAATAATGTTATATGTCAAGTAAGATTGATCTTTCCATTGGACAGAAATGACATTGAAAGGAAGAAAGAAGATTTGAGGACCATGGTTGGGTATGTTTAGCATTTTTCATTTTTCATGAATACCTAACTTTCTTACAAGGATCTTATACATTAAATTTTGAAGGGTTACTAAACAATGACTTAATATTAGATACTTTGTCAGGCTATTTGTATATCAAATAATATAAACATGTTCAATGATTTCATCATAAAGAACCAACATTTCAGATAGAGAAATTCATCTCCTTTATTTTTGAAAATATTCATGCAGATTTAGATATTAATGAGGAATTCAGCAATATGAAGAAAGTATTACTTAACTGAAAATACTTTATGTCTGTTTTAAAATTGGTATTGTCTTAAAATTTGTTCCAAATAAGCATTCACTTTATATACATTGAATGAAAAGCAAGTATGCAGAATTATTAAAACGTATTTAAGTACTTTATTTTGATATTGATGATGTTGTTATTTATCTAGGGAAAGATATCGAGACCTAATAGAGGCTGCAGACACCATTACTGAAATGAAGAACAGTGCACAAAACGTAAGGTTTATTGTTAGGACGTATGACCATTTTTTTCACTTTTCCTCCATCTCTGGGCCACAGGTTTAAGGCCATTGTGGGCCAGTCACAAATAACTGGTTGTAGGTTGGTGGTTTATCTTGCAGATCTCCTGCTTTCCTTCACCACTGCAACCAAGCACTTTCTTAAATGATCCTAGCTGTTATTAGGATGTAAAGCAATAATAAATACAAAAAACCTTTTAGAAGAAATAAAGATTATAATTAAACTTGTAAGGGTAAAAATAAACAACATATAGAACTAGTAATTGACTAATGACTGTATGGATTGATCTGAGCAAGGTCCAATTTTGAAAACGAATGTTTTAAAGTGGTTTATAAAACAAAAAATTAATTTTATCTTAATTAGATTTAAAAACAAATTCCCTATCAAATCTGCTGGCAGTGAGCTGGAAAAGTACTTTTCATTCAATCAGGGAGGCTTTCTTAGGTTACCAAGATATGATCAGTAAATAGATTGTAAGAAATGAAGTTCAAACTTGTCCAGGTATTGACATTTTCACCTATAACATTCTGGGTTCAAATTTACCTACCTTATATCTGGGGGCAGAACAGATCACTACAAAATAAAGAAATGATAGCAAGTATTAGAAAAATGATCATGTTGAGAGATTATTAAGAAAGTTGTATGAGAAGATTAAATAACTAATCCTCCCAATGTGAAGTGTAGAGATAACTGGAGAGTATCAATCAGAAATTATCAGCAAATTTTATTTGTGGACATGTTTCGGCATACAAGGTGTGCTGTCTGCGGAACAGTGTAACAATCCGCAGCTATAGTTGGCAGAATTATGGTGAATACACAGTCTTTAGGACATTTAATTTAAAAAAGGGTAACTAGAAAGATAAACACCAGTCTATAAACAGCATTCTTAAGAATCTAAATATGTTTTCATGCAATGTGTTGATGTGGTATTGTTATATTAGTTTGTAGTTGTCATTTTATATATTTTTTGGAATATGAATCACGAAAATGACAAAAACCTGTGTAAACAACAAAGAAATTATGTTTTTTGATACCCATTAACCTTGGTATGCTTGTTTACAGGTTATGAAGTCTATAGCCCGTATAGACAAAATGTGTAAGGAACTGAACCAAAGTCACATGGTACGAGGCACCTCCTTCCACAACAGATCTAACAAGGAGCTCGATCAAAAGTAAGTCAACTGAATAATTTGATTAAAAAGAAAACAACATTCATTTATTAGAAAAAAACATTAGCAGCTTTTGTGCCTGGAATTGATCAGATGATAAGTCAATCAACATTGCTGGTCAGAAAGGCAGGCTATTGATTTAGCGATAGGCAGCTGTGGGGGTGCTTTTATACATTTGTTTGGTATGAGTTACATCTACAAAATACATTTAAACATAATGCATTACTTCTGTTGTTTCGCCATCACCATTTTAAAGGGTCAGGGGTTATAAAATGTTACCTATGCCCATGGGTCACATCACATCCTGCCTGGCTCTGAATCAGTCTCATTTCTTGAGAACTTTGCACCATCAATTTGTACACTTTATCATGTTCAGGTGGTTATTGGTAAAGGTGAAAGGTTCAAAGATTGGAGGCAAAGTTCACAATTTAACAAAATCCAAAGTCATCAACCAATGATCTGTATCTGTTGTATATTTTTAGGAGGAACCAGGAGTTGAAGTTCCACAGTATAGCAATGCAGATCAAACTACTGCTTGATATGCCTGAAAAAGTAAGAGGAGACTGCAATGGGGGCATTTCTATAAAACAAAATAATGGCTAAATCCTTATTAAGACCTTAAAAATTCAAGATGTAAAAAATATATCAAAAATATACATTTTAAATGAAAATAAACAAGAATTTTGTGACAAGTTTTATAAATAGCATACCATGATTAAGATGATCATTACTGCTGATACATTTTTACATTATTAAGATTGCTGGCTTGAAATCATTATCGTGATCTAGATCGTTGATAAAATCTTTTTAATGTTATTGGAATGATAAATATTTTAATAGATCTGGAGTGCCCTGGACCACTGTGACTATCTGACAGCTACAAGACACTACTTACTGTCTCGACACATCCACACAAGTCTCCAGCTTGACTCGCAACAGTCTCCAGACCTCCTCCATAGATTTCCAGTCCTGAATCGCCAGTGGGCAGCTATTAGTCACTTCAGGGCCACCATCCTTCAGGTAATATTAGACACATCTGGGTCACCATCCTACCAGTTATGTCAATTACTTCAGGGCTACCATATTACAGGTAATATTGGATAGATTAAGGCCACCATGCTACAGGTAATGTCAGTCACTTCTGGGCCACCGTACTACAGGTAATGTCAGCCACTTCTGGGCCACTGTACTACAGGTAACGTCAGTCACTTCTGGGCCACCGTACTACAGGCAATGTCAGTTTATTCAAGGCCACCATATGAAAGTCAATGTCAGTCACTTCAGTGCCTCCTTATAAAAAGGTAATGTCTGTCATTGCTGGGCTGACATACTAATGTGGGAACAACTTGACTACTGTTTGTGTTATATTTGATATCTCTGAAAGTTTGTACCACAATATGACATAATTTGCTCTAGGCAATTGAATGTGTGTTAATTGTTGGTTACTTGATTAAGCTACCGTACAATTAAACTTTCATTGGGTAATATTTAACCTGTGTATTAGTGGAGGACTCTTTCATGAGTGAGATGTGTGCTGCTGTAGGGTATCATAAAACTCCATAAACTAACTGAGTGTTTGTAATTTCAGGGGAGTCGAGGTATGCTTAAGGAGTCTGTCATTACTGACCAGGTAAAGTCTTCTACAGTGTTTCAAGTTGCCATATTTATAAAGATTTGTTTTAAAAAAAGACAATGTCTGTGAAGATTATTTGAAATGAATATTCATCAAACAGGAAATGAAAGCAAAATAAAATGCATTTAGTCAATCTTATAGACAATACGTATTGAATTTTTACATATTGTTTTCTGAAGATGTTTTTTTTCCTTTGTAGAAGATAGCAGAGTGCCTGTGTAGTATTATTCTACTGGAGGATAGTACACCAAGACAGGTTTTCAATGAGTTCCTCCTTGCTCGAACTGTAAGTCTACTAACAGAACACAAGAAAAAAGCTAACTACTCTGCATAGCATTTAATTTTTAAGGGAAAAATTGAAAGTTTGAATTTTACCAGACATTATGAACAGTCATTATGGTTGAAGTTGGATATGCTAATCTCATTTAAATGGTGTTTTATTTCTTTTGTGGTATTCTAGACAGCAGTACAGCAGTTGTTCCATCCAAACCAGACAGAAGGTGTGAAAGATCAAGTCTGTACTGTAGTCAAGCTTATCACTACAACAATCCACCAGATACACAGCGTCTTCTACCAGGGCGACAACTCTGATATGGGAGGTATGTATCCAAGATACACAGCGTCTTATACCAGGGCAACAGCTCTGATATGGGAGGTATGTTTCCCAGGTACACAGCTTCTTTTACCAGGGCAACAGCTATGATATTGGAGATATGTCTACCAGACACACATTGTCTTTTTACCGAGATAAGAGCTCTGATATGGGGTTATGTATACCAAATACACAGTGACCTTACTTTGGGAGGTGGTGCAAACAAGCGCACAACATGCTATGTTAGAAAATTATAAAATTAATCTTACTGATAATTCCACATATTCAAATAATTTCCATGATTACCACAGTGAGCCTTGTCTAATATACCTTCAACAATTTGAAACACTCACTTTTCATTTTATAATTTTTTTTTTTGTGCATGTAGAGATATTTCTGAATCTCAATCTATGTTAAAAGTTGATATGACTAATAATCAAGATTATGAATTGTTTTTTCATTAAAAAGATGTCCCTGATTCTGTTTCAGTGACCAGTAACCTATTGGTGACTATCCTGACTACTGTGACATCTCAGAAACAGCAAGGTGAGACAATTTACAGTGTCAGTGTCATTCTGTTTTTATGCTTCCTGAATTGAAATGCTTGAGATATTAGGGGAAGATGTTCTCACAATGTTAACCAGTGGAACAGTGAGGTTGTGTGAAATTACTACATTATCTTACAATGTTAGTAAAAATCAAATTTGATTTAATTAAGTTTTGATAGGAAATTTTAAATTTTCGTGCTGGTATGAAAGAAAAACCAATTTGCAAACTGAATAAATGTACATAGCACATTCATGAAAAGTTTGCAGATTAGTTTGACAGCTAATGCAAGCCACTTTAAGTCATTAAGGATTCATGGGTGAGTGGGCCAGTCACATTACGAATGGAAATCTATATTGTAAGACAGTGGATGGAGGGGCTCCGAGAGCATATAGGTGACAGGTGGTTTGTTTAATTGTTATTCGGAAAAAGTGCTGCAAGATTATAAACAGTAGCAATTTGTGTCAGTGGTGAGTGGGAGAAGAGCAACTTGGCACTCCTCACTAATTCTGATACAAAAGATAAGATGTTGATGTTCGCTGAATTCTCATCTAATTCACCATTCAGAAAATTCTGTATTGGCATCAAAGTCAAAGACACTGCCAAAATTGAAAGCAGATGACATTTTGATGTTGTGGTGTAATATATTGCTGTCAGTCCTAAGTTCAAAATGTGACAAAAATGTAACAGGTTTTTTTCCCTTGATAATGCCACTGTTTATTCGTTTAGGTTTTTTTTTTGTATACATTGTAAGATATTTAACATTTTACGATGTTGTAGTCCATTTTTTGGTAACAGCACTGAATAACAATGATCCACACACCAAGTGTATGTGTAAGCAGATATTCCATTTATACGAAGAAGGAGATCCGCCAGGTGGCATGTTGCTATTGACTCCTCCAATTGTTTTTCAAGTGGGCAGAGCGAGAGTTTTTTTTTTTTTTTAATGGAAAGAAAAATTTGACGAATTATAGAACTGCATTTTGCATATGAACAACGTAAAATTAATTGTCATCTTATTAAATGCTGACAATTCTGTTTTAAATGTTTTACATGATTGTGTTCTATTTTAAATTACAGAATCTGGATTACTGGACTTTCACCAGTCCTCTTCACTGAAGAGCCTGCCTTCATCAGTTTTAGGTAATCATGTCTTACAGAAATATCAGGAAATGTTGACCTGTAATGACGACAAACTTCCACCTGAAAATTTCTATAGCGAGGATACTTTGGATGACTTACAAATTAATCAATTGTAAATTTGATTGAAAACAACTTCAGTGACTGTAATTCTAACATTGTTATGTAATGCTCAGACATCTTGCTATTAACAACTTTAAACTTTACAGCCATCCTGTATTTATCATGTTTGATAATAAGCCCGCCTATTCAAAAGGACTGCAGATATTTCAATGTCCTGCAATAAGTCCACTTCTGACTTTGAGAAAGAACAGGTACACTAGCCCCAGAGCTGTTAACATGATAAGTAGGGTTACTTTCTTTAGGCTGGATATCTATGTTACAATAAGGTTGTATTTATCCTGAAGGATTTGTGCTCCTACCTTGGTAAATCTTCCTTGGTGATAAGGAAATCTCCATCGGTAACTCCTTCTTGTGATGAAGTTATCCCCTTGGTATATCCCTGTTAATTTGAGTGAGGATTTTTAGCCCACCATCATCAGATTGTGGGGTATTCAAATCGCCCTGCGTCCGTGGTCCGTGGTCCGTCCGTAAACAATTCTTGTTACCGCTATTTCTGGGAAAGTACTGGATAGATCTTTCTCAAATTTCATATGCAGTTTCCCCTTGGTCCCTAGTTGTGCATTGTACCTTTTTTGGACTGATTTGAAATCAAGTTGGCCCACAGGCAGCCATCTTGGATGTCGACAGTAATACAGCACAAGCATATTTTCTTCGTTATTCTATCATATTGATTCAAGACCATGTCCATTATCCACCTGTAACTGACTGCTATCTAATGATACTTTGGGATCTTTTTCAAATGATATTTGCTAATAGGTGCTTTATAAAAATATCTTGTGCCATCATTTAGTACATTCAATAAAGACCAGTTCATGAACATTTACAAAACCTGTAACAAAAAAAAAAAAATAAACAAATCTTCAAGAACTGAAAACAGATCCTCAAATAGTGGGCGCCAAGATCCCACTGGGATCTCTTGTCATAAACAGTTAATATGGAAATGATGTATTAGTGCCTGTGAAATATAAAGGTTTCAACATTGTCAATAGATTTAGTAAATCATGCATGAAATTACCTCTCAAAGAAGGTGTTCCATGGAATTCCTAGACTAGAGCTCTATTTTGATTTATTGTTGTAAGTTTATGATCATCTTTTACTGTGCATCAGTAAAATTGCCACGTTATAATGGTTTGTATTGTGTTCACCAGATTTCTGCCCTACCCTACGGTCGCATGCCACACCTGTATCGGTACAGTATCTCCAGGACAACTGCCAGCAGTGGATTGACACGTATGTCTACCTGTCGTTGATATAATATCAAATGTTCAGAAACTATGCTGTGCTGGTACGTCTCTGTCTGTACCATTATCACAGCACTAGAGCAGTATTTTGTAAAACTTAAATTCACAGTTAAGAAGGGAGCTAGTTAAATTTAACATTATACTGACAATTTGTTTTGGTAAGTTGGATTTCAGAATTGGACAGGATCAAGAGTATCCCAATACAGGGAGGGAAAGCCATTTTTGTGTTTGGCTACTTCTAGTGGATAATTTGATGAATTGGTTAGCTTAAATGTGACCTCCTTTTTGTTTTCTACTGTATGTACAAACCTTGCTCCTGTACACAATGGTTTTTTTTTGATAGGACAAATTTCCATCGTTTCATCAAAACCTGGAAATAAGGATTTGATTTTCACAGAAGCAATTAAATCAAGGCCATCTTCATTGATTTTCTGTTCAAGATATCTTTTTTTCACAATGTTATTCTGTCCTTGAAAATAGTGAAAATAAAGATTCATTGAATGTACAACTTGTACGTTAGCATATTCAAAGTGAAGTAGAATCAAATATGCTTCACAATTATAAAAATAGTTTACTTGTTTACAAATATGTTTCAAAAATTCATTGACAATAACTTGTATTAAAAAGAAAATTTTTTTGGAAAATGGAAATGTCCATTTTCAACCGTCACTTACAAAGTTGTTGCATTCCTCCAATGCAAGTGAATTAAAAATTAGTACATTAACTTTAATAAAATTATTTAAACTTCACTTATTCAGCAAGATTCTTCAATTACTCCTTGTTAAGTACAGAATTCTCAAATCCATGAGTTACTACAGATGTCCACTCTCAGAAAGACTTTGTCTTCTACAGATGTATTCGGGACGTTAAACATGGCGTTGGGAAGCTGTTAGGCTTTGTAAACACTGTGAAGAGATTGGCTGACATCCGTGATGCCGTGTGGGAACTGCTGTCCCAGGACCAAAGTATGGCTGATTGGCAAGGAGTGTGTTCTCGTATACTCAACAGGAAATTGTCCAGCTGGGATGACTTCCTGTGGTCACTTTTCCTGGACAGGGTTAAGGTCAGTTACCAGTATTCTTGGTCACAATGAATTATCAAAGATCTAAGTAGAGTCAAGGTCATTGAATGCCAAATAGGTTAGTTACCTTGTAAGATATAAGCAGGGTCAATGTTATTAAGTGTGGGGTCAAGGTCATTCAGCACGAAAATGCTATCTTTTCAAACTAATCAGTTTATATTTTAAGGATCTATAATTGTTTATCTGTAGGCGTTGATGAAATACCAACTGGACACAGCGACTGAATTAACCAAACGCCAAGTGTCAAAACTGGTGATGGAGATTGGAAGTTTAGAAGATGGGTAAGAAGTTGTACTTTACAACAAACTGCTGCCTTTATGTTATATTTTTTTTATATATGTTTTGGTTCATAGTCTTTTTACTTTAGCTGATGTATCATTGAAATCATTTGATAATCTTTTAAGGATAGTGGAGTACCCAAGCAAGTACAGTGCAATCATTAATTTTCATGGGGGATAATTTTTTGATGAATTTTTGGTTTTCTTAATCAACAAATTCATATATCCATGAAGTGTTAAAATCATTATAAGTAGATTTATTGAGCAATATTCATCCACAAATCCAAGTGCTCACAAAAATATATGATTTTACAGTATGTTGAAGTAATGCAGATTATTACAGTAACTCTTTATTATGTTTCTATAATTACAATATAGTTACAATGGATGATTCTGGTAGGTAAAAGTCTCTTGATGTCGCTATTAATCATCTACCTGATAGAGTCATCACTATTTATCATTTATGATAGAGAACCATAATGAGATAATTCAGAATGTACCGTGTCAACTATTTGTTTGATTTATAGGAGCAGTGATTTGGAGGTAGACCTGTCTAAGTATATCTGGTGTGAGGGGTCAGGGGACATACAGGCCAACATGGCATGGACAACAGCCAGTGCCCGTACCTCTAGTACTCAGACCCCTAGTGGTCTTCTGATGAAAGCTAAGGCCTTCACTCCTGTCATTCAAAGGTAAGCATAACAACACCTTTGTCATAAATTCTGTGGAGGCTCTTAGTTCATTTACACGTGTAGCCAGTCATTTTTGCAATGAGGATATTTTCATTATTTTGCGGGACATCAATGTGATTGCGAAAATTTAATCGGTGAAGTAAGGATGCATGTGTGTATAAGATATCATTTTATGAAAAGAAATATAACTTGTTTTAAAAGAATATCCTAAAAATTTTGACCTGTGAATATAATCAGCTATATGGTATATGAGAAAAAATTCCTATTTTGTTGTCTTACACTGATTACAACTTCATTTAGACTGAAATTAATGATTTATTAATCACAGTGTAATCTCCTAGATTGAAAAGCCCTTTAAATGGTGTGCTGTCACTATATCCACAACACTGACGCCATAATGGTGACATGGTAGATGGCATTTGTTGTATCATAAATCACACATCTTTCTAATTGATTGATATTGTGGCATTGCCTTGCCAATGTAAATGTTGTATTTTGTTGATAAATGATTTGTTTACACTGTATTTGTTTGTAGCTTGTGTCGTAACTATGATGATAAACTACTGACTCTGATTGAGGATTGTAAACATTACATACAACCTGCAGATGAGAAAGACACACAGACAGATGAACCATTCAATCGCTATGGTGATACAGCTGACCTGCGTAACCATCTCAAGGTCACATGTCATCGCTGTGTAGAAGAGTGAGTATACAGCACAGTTTATTGGAGTTTGATTATCAGTACTGTAGACCAGTGGCCAGTGGTAGGTCAGACTTTATAGGTAAAAATCTTATTCATCCAAATTCAGATTTTTCTTCACGAAGGTTATATTGACAGTATATATGACGCATGTAAGCTTTTCGGTGAAATTTTCCATATTGAGGTTTAAAATGGTCACTTGACATTATAAAAATCAGAAAGTGCTATCAAAAATAAAATGTTGATACAGATTTTCTGGTATGTTTCATGCAATTATAAAGTTTAAAAAATGTGTAGTTTGATGTTTTTTTTTTTCACTTTTTAATTATCTTTATTTCTTTGTAATAAAAATGATGGTGTTTTCAAATTCTTAATTGAGATTGTGATGCAAGAAAAGTGATATGACAGCCTGATTAGATTGACCTGAGTTGATCATACATTAAAAGTTAATCAGTGACTAATGACAGATGTTAATTGTGTAAAACGTTTTCCTCCTACAGTAGCACTGATAATAGTTATATTCAATTGAGAATAAGGCTTGATTAAGTCCTGAAGAATTTGTAAATATCATTAAAGCTGTACTTTTTCCCTTTCAGACTTATGACATATGTTGATGAGCAACTAGAGCTATGGAAATTGTCTCTGGAGATACCAGACAGAACAACCAATCAGATCACTATCAACAAGTAGGTACAACCAATCAGATCACTATCAACAAGTAGGTACAACTAATCAGAAGCAAGCTCATTATCAACCAATTATGTTACAATAATAGGATCACTAGTTAAAACCTTGCTAAGATCCACTTGTTATGAAAAATATAAAAGGAATTAGTACTTTAATCGATGGCTACACAATTATAGATACATATACATAATTATAAACCTGTTTTGAAATATCACAGCTCCTGCTGGAATCCATTGTATGACAAATTTTAATTTAAAAGTATTTTATTGATGAGTTTGGTCCTGTGGTATACATTTCATTTTTTTATTCGGAGTACATTCAGTTTACTTGGAATGATGTTTAAATATTAGAAATAGAATGGTGATATTGGGTCTCCTGTTTGAGATTTCAATAAGATTTTTGTTATTTCCCTAGAGATGCCTTGGACTATATAACAAGGATGATTCTTGATAAGCACATTAGCATATTATCAAGTTTGTGATTTGTAGAATCCTGTTTGTTGGGAGATTTTGTGGAGCACTGTCAGAGCTGGTGCCATCATTACATCATTGTATTGTGGGACAGACAACACAGGACAAACTTGATCTTCTTAAGTAAGTATAAGGGGAGGTAGTTTTAATGTTTTTGTGATGGAGTGATATTGAATTTAAAAGTTTTTTCCACATGATTAATACCATTACATATGTTGTACACTTCTTGGAGGCTGTGAATATTGTAAAAGTTCCAAAGATATTACCTGTTATTCAATGTCAGAGGGTGAACTTATTACAAAACCTTAGGGTGCAAACACATTACCTCTGGCTCAAAGATGTGGGGCTGGTTTTTTACAAAACCACAGCGGTCATTACCTTTGACTCAATGTCAAAGGGTAGACTTATCACAAGACCTCAGGGGATGATAACTTCTGACTAAATGTAAAATGATGAGCTTATAAAAAAACTCAAGGAGAATTACCTCTGAATTAATATCAAAGGGTGGGCTTATTACAAAACCTCACTGATAATTACCTGTGACTTAATATCAAAGGGTGGGCTTATTACAAAACCTCACGGATAATTACCTGTGACTTAATATCAAAGGGTGGGCTTATTACAAAACCTCACGGATAATTACCTGTGACTTAATATCAAAGGGTGGGCTTATTACAAAACCTCACGGATAATTACCTGTGATTTAATATCAAAGGGTGGGCTTATTACAAAACCTCACGGATAATTACCTGTGATTTAATATCAAAGGGTGGGCTTATTACAAAACCTCACGGATAATTACCTGTGATTTAATATCAAAGGGTGGGCTTATTACAAAACCTCACTGATAATTACCTGTGATTTAATATCAAAGGGTGGGCTTATTACAAAACCTCACGGATAATTACCTGTGACTTAATATCAAAGGGTGGGCTTATTACAAAACCTCACGGATAATTACTTCTGACTAATGTCAGGTACTTGGCTTATTACAATATCTTAGGGTTCATTACATCTGACTCAATTTCAAGGTGATGGGCTTGTTACAAAACATTGAAAAAGTATTTGTTAGTAATGGTACTGAACAGCAGTATATATTGGTGGGCTTATAACTAGGCATGGGGTAAATATCTACTACTACATCAGTTTGTGAAAGTCCAAAGGCCACTGACTTTACAATTTTTTTTGTCTTTCACTTCATTGAATTTTAGGTATAAGGTGTAAGGGAGTTAACTCTTTACACTTGAATATAGTTGTGATATGTAAGGTAGAAGTGGAATATCAAATAACATTGCATAAGGAATACTAAATATTGGAATGTCAATAAATAAGTAAAGATACAGGTGTTACTTATGTGATGAAAGTTTTTGGTGTAATTGACTAGATCACAAATGAAGAGCAGCAAGCAGGGCTCAAAGGTAGTGGAAGATCCTGTATGGCTACAAGTGAAAGATAGACTGGCACAGTGTCATAGGAGTACATATAGGTAAGGACTCGGCCTGAAGTGCCACAAAGTGTCTACAGGTAGGTATTTTCCGATGTTTAAGTCTAGACAACAAACATTTGCAAACCCTTCTGCAAGTGATCATCTTCTGACCTAACCTATTTATTGACTTTTGAATTAAGTATATTTTCTACATTTTAAGCTTCATTTGAAATTTCTAGTTCACTTCTTAATAACAAACAGGCTCTGGATACTGATTTTGGATCAGGAGTGTGCAAGGATGAAGGACTACCAAGTTTGTTCAAATGAATTACCATGACCCACTTTTGAGGTCACAGAGGTTAAATGTGTTAAGAAGTTTAAACTTTTTCTTAATAAAAACATGTAGACCTTTAGTCATGGTAGTCATGATAAAGTTTTCTGTATAAGTACAGAGTGGATGAACAATACAGGCCTTTTGGACCCCTTGTTTACTTTGACTAGGTGTTACTTTTAGATAGCTGGTACATGTTTTCTATTTTTAAACTTTTTATGCCTTTGAATGATGTTTTTTCGCATGTCTTATGTAAAAATCTAATTTAGAGATCCTCTGACTGGACGTGCTTTGCTTCATATATGAGACTATGTAATGATTGACAGGTTCTTGAAAAATTTCTGTTACAGAATATGGGTGGAGTATCTGTCTGCCACTGTGTTAAAGGATTTCAAAACCTGCATCAACAATCCACAGGGCAAAGAGGCAATATCAACATGTACAGTGAGTGTACTTACCCTCTGGGTTTGAAATCAGATTATCTGATGGGCAGGCAGATCGTCATATCTGTTCAGTATCCCTTTATAAACCATCTGTATGGATTTCAAAGTTTAATTTTCAGCTCAATCAACTGTTAGTGAAGGGATAAATGTTTTTAATAGAAGACAGATTGATTTTACGATTTAAATCATAGTGATGATGCTTCTATTATGTTTTGTTAATATCAGAGAGCAGAAAAACCAATACACCTTATCAGTATATCAAACTTTTGCTGGTGAATGCATTATGTTTTGTGGTTTCATATCACCAGTTTAAGTTTATATTCATATATATGTTGTGTTATATTTGACAGAGATGGGATGAGGTGAATATTGAAGAAGAAACAGAAAGTGGGAAGAATGTGAACTCAAAGATAAGAATTCCTATGCAGGTAGTGAAGTTTTACTCCAATTAAAGTTAATCTTATTGGCACCTGTAGTATTAATCATCACAATATTCCTGACAATTAGTCAGGCTGCAGGATGAGACAATATTTCTAGATAATGCATGTATGTGCTAAGATCATATTTTGAAAGAATTTCTTAGAGGAGGAAAACTCATGAAGTAGAGGTGGGATATTTTATGTGGAAGTAAGGATGTCTTGTGTAGAGATGGGATATCGTATGTGGAAGTAAGGATGTCTTGTGTAGAGATGGGATATCGTATGTGGAAGTAAGGATGTCTTGTGTAGAGATGGGTAAAATTAAATAGGTCTCAACCCAACAGAAACACTCTATTAACCCTATATAGAGATGGGAAAACTAATATATATCTTTTGTGGGAAAACTCCTGTAATGCAGAGGTGAGATATTTGTGTGTAAAAAATGTAAAATTCATATGTATCATTATGGTGGGAAAATCTTGGTAATCCTCTGTGCAAGTGGACAAAAACTCACATAAATGCTATATAGGTTGGAAAACTCAAATATATCTTTTATAGAGGTCAGGAAAAACTCTTTTGTGTGTAGTGGTGTAGGATTTGGATATTCCAACAAAGTATTTTGTTCTCATTTTCATTCTAAAATATTGGGAAAAAATAGCTTTAGACATTACACAAAAATCATTTTTTTATTTAGCGATTAATCAACAAATTGACATAGAAAATGCCTAGATTTGGCAAACAGAGTTTACCCTAGAAAATTAAAACAAAATATAAACACTTACTGCAAATAACTATTCTTTTTTTAAGATTTTTTTATTTTTAATAATTTTTGAACATATACATTCAGATACAAAGAACATAGGACAATAATATACACTGCATTTTCAGTATGATTCACACATACAGATACATGCTCTCTCACACACACATACATACATGCACACACTTATTAGTAACAAATAGCTATTTGTACACAAATGTGTAAAGAACAATGTATCAGGTGATGACGTCAATTGGGAAGGGACACATCACATTTCAATGCGTGTGCACATGTGACTGTAATGCACGGGTGGGTGTGTAATACAAGAACAGTGAACGTGGGTGTATTGCCCTGGACAGACCAGCATTACATGGGTAGAAATGAGAGAATATACACATCTCCTCATAAACTGACGAAGGTAACTAGGGATAAATTGTAATTGCTCTGGGAATTCCCATCATTGTTTGGTTTTCATTACAGGCCTCGTGGTATGTGCAAGATCTCTTATTTAATCTGTGTCAGGAAATCAACAGAGTGGGAGCACACACTATACACAGGTAAATTACTATCACTACAAGACTTATGTACCCTCAGCAGTACAGTCATCTTAGGCACTAGTGATAAAGTCATAACAGTCTGTGATCATTTTAAACATGCTGTTCTTATCTCATAAATGCTTAGGATAAGATAGCTTTTCTGTGTGTCTGATTTGTAATGTGAAATAAAAATCCTATTAAGAGAAAATTGCTCATTGAAGACAAAAAAGCAATGGTATATATAATATTCTTTATGATAATATTCCCAACTTACCATTTTCTTTGACATGTGTGTTTATACATCAATCCATATATAAGCCTGTGTGAATCCTTTCATACAATCGTCTATGAGCATCCTTCCATACACCTGTCTATGAGCATCCCTCCATATACCTGTCTATGAGCATCCTTCCATACACCTGTCTATGAGCATCCTTCCATACACCTGTCTATGAGCATCCCTCCATACACCTGTCTATGAGCATCCCTCCATACACCTGTCTATGAGCATCCTTCCATACATTCGTCTATGAGCATCCCTCCATACACCTGTCTATGAGCATCCTTCCATACACCTGTCTATGAGCATCCCTCCGTACACCTGTCTATGAGCATCCTTCCATACATCCGCCTATGAGCATCCTTCCATACATTCGTCTATGAGCATCCCCCCATACACCTGTCTATGAGCAACCTTTCATACATCCATCTATGAGCATCCCTCCATACACCTGTCTATGAGCATCCTTCCATACACCTGTCTATGAGCATCCTTCCATACACCTGTCTATGAGCATCCTTCCATACATCTGTCTACTTCAAACTACCCTAGGTAGATGTCTTCTTTATGCTGTGTAAAACAAAATTCCTCTCCTCAGAAAAGTTGTGGAGGAACTAGTGGAGAATGTGTCCAATGGAATTCTCACCTGTTATGAGGAAGTTCTGAATGCCTGTAGGAAGAAAAAGACCGGGAATTATCTGTCCTTGTCTCAACAGATGGCGTTACAGCTATTGTATGATGTTAAGTTCATTGTTCGGATCATTCCAAGGAAAGATGACCAGCAGGTATACTCACTTCATCAATTCTCTCTAGGACATCAGTTTTGTATTGGACAAATAAAAGTGAATGTATAATGAAAGATGTGTCTCCTTACTTTCTCAAAACAGGAAATTGGGAGAAGGGGGAGGAAGTGATGATTTGTCCAGAAGACTATTCATTAGAGTTATGGAATTTTAACTGTATTTTTTTTCTAGACTTAAATTTTCCTAATTGGAAACACCCTGGCTGTACATAATTGATGGTTATGATGTTTTAAGGGGGCAGTGATTGGATGCAATCATGGATATCAGACTAAAATTATTCAACTTTATCTGAAGATTTTTAATTGAATGGTCTAGATTTAGAGTAAATGACCATCAATAAGGACTTTTTCTTGTTGATTAGAATTTCAAGATGTTCACTTAGGCCTCTGATGGACTTCAAAAAATTTGTCTCGGCTCATAAAGATATTTCCTTTAATAACACTTGCCAAATGCTGGTATTTTCAAAATTATTTATGTTCACAGATACATTCTTGTTTTTTTCTTATTGGCTTAGAATAGAATGTTTGTTTTACACAGGAGAGTAAACTCTACCAGCAACGGTCACGGCGTGTGATAGAGAGGCTCGAGGAGAAGATTGACCCATTTGATCTTGACGTTTTTTCACCTTACATCCAGTCACACCTGACTAAACAGACACAGCGGTCAACAGTGAGTGTTAGCATCCTATGCACTCGGCTTAGTTTTAGTTTTTGGAATACCATACAGCCTGTTACAGTTCTGATATCTACCTCCTACAGCCTGTAACAGTTCTTATATCTACCTCCTACAGCCTGTAACAGTTCTGATATCTACCTCCTACAGCCTGTAACAGTTCTGATATCTACCTCCTACAGCCTGTAACAGTTCTTATATCTACCTCCTACAGCCTGTAACAGTTCTTATATCTACCTCCTACAGCCTGTAACATTTCTGAAATCTACCTCCTACAGCCTGTAACAGTTCTGATATCTACCTCCTACAGCCTGTAACAGTTCTGAAATCTAACAGTTCTGAAATCCAACTACAGCCTGTAACATTTATAACTCCTACAGCCATTTATTGTTGTGGGGTGTAACTCCTACAGCCTGTTACAGTTCTGAAATCTACCTCCTACAACCTGTAACAGTTCTGAAATCTAAACAGCCTGTTACAGTTGAACTGCTACAGCCTGTTACAGTTGAGGAATATAACTCCTACAGCTTGTTATTGTTGTCAGTTCTAACTCATACAGCCTGTTATTGTTGTGGGGTCTAACTCCTACAGTCTGTTATTGTTGTGGGGTCTAACTCCTACAGCCTGTTACAGTTCTGAAATCTACCTCCTACAGCCTGTAACAGTTCTGAAATCCAACTCCTACAGCCTGTTAGAGTTGAGGAATATAACTCCTACAGCCATTTATTGTTGTGGGGTGTAACTCCTACAGCCTGTTACAGTTCTGAAATCTACCTCCTACAACCTGTAACAGTTCTGAAATCTACATCCTACAGCCTGTTACAGTTGAGGAATCTAACTGCTACAGCCTGTTACAGTTGAGGAATATAACTCCTACAGCTTGTTATTGTTGTCAGTTCTAACTCATACAGCCTGTTATTGTTGTGGGGTCTAACTCCTACAGTCTGTTATTGTTGTGGGGTCTAACTCCTACAGCCTGTTATTGCTGTGGGGTCTTACTCCTACAGTCTGTTATTGTTGTGGGGTCTAACTCCTACAGCCTGTAATTATTGTGGAGTCTAACTCCTACAGCCTGTAATTGTTGTGGGGTCTAACTCCTGCATCCTGTTACAGTTGAGAGCTTAACTCCTACAGTCTGTAATTATTGTGGGGTCTAACTCCTACAGCCTGTAATTATTGTGGGGTCTAACTCCTACAGCCTGTAATTTTTGTGGGGTATAACTCCTACAGCCTGTAATATTTGTGGGGTCTAACTCCTGCATCCTGTTACAGTTGAGAGCTTAACTCCTACAGTCTGTAATTATTGTTGGGTCTAACTCCTACAGCCTGTAATTTTTGTGGGGTATAACTCCTACAGCCTGTAATATTTGTGGGGTCTAACTCCTGCATCCTTTTAAAGTTGAGAGCCTAACTCCTACAGCTTGTTACAGTGGAGAAAACTCTCAGCAATGCTATTTTATTTGATTGTCAAACTATAAACTTCACGTTGAAATGTCAATTTCAAACAAAGCAAATTATGAATTCATTGTTGTCCTTTCTATCAGTACATTGTACAACAAATTATTTAGTGACAACACAAAGACAGCACCAGAAAATGTTTTGTGAGATTTCAACTTTATTTTTCTTTGTTTTTATTTTTTTCTTTGGTCTGTGAAAAACATTTCATGTTTTTAAGATATACATATAGTCATAATGGATTTTTTTGTTTGTTTGTTTGTTTTTTTTAAGCTGTAATATTTTCATGAGGATAATAGAAAGAAGAAGTATGCATGTACTGGAGTTAAATGTACCATCCCAATCTCTCGTTAAGTGCTTTGATAGACATATTTACTTGTCAGCACATATTTAGGGTATTCAAAAATATTCCAAAAAGAAAACAAAAGAAGGCAAAAAAATTAAAACAGAAACAAAGGGAAAATTCAATTAAAAACAAGAACAAATGACTCTGCTGTTCACTGGATGATAAACTTAGCAAGAAAACAAAACCAATTAGGTTATTGGTACATGCTTATAAAGTAACTTTAATTTGTTATATGCTGTTTAAAGACTATTTAGAATTACTGTTTCTTAAATGGATGACTTTTGCTAGGTATTGTATGGAGCACTGACCAGTCTGGACAAACTGGGGATGTTTAACACTGGACGAGGTCTCCAGACCACTCACCAAGAACAACATAATGTCCTTCCACTGACCACATGTCAGAACAGATTCATACTGCTGCCAATGAGTAAACAACCAAGTAACACCACCCTGCCATCACCGATACTGTCACAGACCTTACACAGGGTGAGTTCAAAGCCTTACTGTGCCACACAGTCCTCACTAATACCATTACAGACTAGTAATATGCTGGAATGAAGGACTACCAAGCTTGTTCAAATGAATGAATGGCAAAGTTGAAGGGCACAAAGGTCAAATAAGTTAAATTCTCAAAGCAAGTTTTTCTCATAACCAAAGGCATATGACCATGATACTGGACTTGTCTCATGCATGGATGGAGGGCTGTTAAGTGTGTTCAAACGATTGACCTTCTCATATATTTTAAGCCTTTTGATCAGATGGTTGGCTTTTATAATTGTTTTCACTTTTGTAAGTACATCAGCATTCACAAGAATTTTTGTCAAATGGTGTGCTTAAAGTGGTATTATTTTTTAAAAAATGCAATACATTTCACCTTTTGGGATACATTCTGTTCATATTGTAGTAGATAAAACCATGTGTATGTATTGTCAAAATGACAATACTGGGAGATAACACTTAACCTACCAGACTTATAATTCCAATGTAAGATTAGATACAAGTGTGCTTTTCTCTAATTAGATTTTTCTAGACTGAATATGTATTGTTTATATATATTTTGATTGCAATACAATAAAAGTAGATTCTGTTGTAATAAGTTTTCTGTCAAATCATAGATTGACGGGTCTATTACGTCAGTAAAATTCAATGTATGTGGATATCTGTTACAATTAAGGGATTTATCAAAAGATTGTTAGCCATGAGGATAAAGGATTTTAATCTTCTCTATAATCTGGAACTAATCGCATCAGAAGCAACAACCATTAATGAATCAAGTAGCTGGATGACGTCTCAAACATCTGGTGACTTAATTACAATATTGCTTAAAGAAATTATGAACTGCACAGTTGTTTGGATAAAGTGAGGCTCATGTTACTGGTTTGGATAAAGTAGGGCCTATGTAACTGTCTAGCAGATTTTACCCATGTAGCTAGATTAGATACAGACATGCCCAAACTAATTTGGAAATAGAATTTTCCATGAAATTTCTTGGATAAATTGATATCTCTAGAATTATGTGAATGAAGTGTGTGCCATGATACTTGATTGGATAAATTGAGGCTCAGGTAACATAGATAAATTGACACTCAGGAAATTAGACTTAATGAAGAGTGGCCCATGTAACTAAATTGGACAAGATGGGGTTGCATGTAACTTTCTGGATAAAGTGGGGTCACTGTCACTAGATTTGTTATGCCCATGTAGTTTGGTTAAGTAGGGTTCTCATTCCTAGTTAGATAAAGTAGGGTTCATCCCCCTAGTGGCTCGTGTCACTAGTTAGATAAAGTGGGGCTCATTTCACCAACAAGATAAAGTGGTGCTCATGTCACTAGTTAGATAAAGTGGGGCTCATGTCACTAGTTAGATAAAGCGGGGCTCATTTCACAAATAAGATAAAGTGGTGCTCATGTCACTGAAAAGAAAGTGGGATACAGGTCACCAACAAGATAAAGTGGTGCTCATGTCACCAGTTAGATAAAGTGGGGCTCATGTCACTAGTTAGATAAAGTGGGGCTCATGTCACCAACAAGATAAAGTGGTGCTCATGTCACTGATAAGATAAAGTAGAGCTTATGTCACTAGTAAGATAAAATGGTTCTCATGTCACTAATTAGATAAAATGGTTCTCATGTCACTAATTAGATAAAATGGTTCTCATGTCACCAACAAGATAAAGTGGTGCTCATGTCACTGATAAAATAAAGATAAAGTAGATAAAATGCTTATGTCACTAATTAGTAAAATGATAAAATGGTTCTCATGTCACTAATTAGATAAAATGGTTCTCATGTCACTAATTAGATAAAATGGTTCTCATGTCACCAACTAATTAGATAAAATGTGGTGCTCATGTCACTGATAAAATAAAGTAGAGCTTATGTCACTAGTAAGATAAAATGGTTCTCATGTCACTAATTAGATAAAATGGTTCTCATGTCACTAATTAGATAAAATGGTTCTCATGTCACCAACAAGATAAAGTGGTGCTCATGTCACTGATAAGATAAAGTAGAGCTTATGTCACTAGTAAGATAAAATGGTTCTCATGTCATTAATAAAATGGTTCTCATGTCATAATTAGATAAAATGGTTCTCATGTCACCAACAAGATAAAGTGGTGCTCATGTCACTGATAAAATAAAGTAGAGCTTATGTCACTAGTAAGATAAAATGGTTCTCATGTCACTAATTAGATAAAATGGTTCTCATGTCACTAATTAGATAAAATGGTTCTCATGTCACTAATTAGATAAAATGGTTCTCATGTCACCAACAAGATAAAGTGGTGCTCATGTCACTGATAAGATAAAGTAGAGCTTATGTCACTAGTAAGATAAAATGGTTCTCATGTCACTAATTAGATAAAGTGGGGCTCATGTCACTAGTTAGATAAAGTGGGGCTCATGTCACTAGTTTGGTAATAATGCACATATAACAAGATTGGGTGGTATGATGCAAATTTTAACTCTTGTGACTGGTATATTTGAAATGGGACTTTTGTAATTAGTTTTGATCAAATGACACTCATGTTACTAGTTGGATGAGGTGAATGCAATTATTAATAGTTTGGATAAATAAAGGTTTATGTTAATTACTTGATAAAAAAAAATGCTTATTCAGCTGGTTGCGATAAACTAAAAACCATGTTTAAAAGTGATGCAATGCCAACCCTATACATAGTTAGAATAAAGCATGGACAGGATAAAGCGAAATTTTTGTATGGCAGTTGATATGAAATAAGCTTGTCAAGAAATAGCAATACACACATAACTAATTATCATTTAAGTCCAAATGAACCTCTGATTCAATAGTATAGTGGAAAGGTACAAGAGCTAGTTCCTTAAACACATGATGGTAATTACCATCTGTATCTCTAGCAACCCCCTTGCTGTCCCAGTGAAGGGGTTAGATGTTTGGGTTGAAAATGCAAGTTACCAGAATAGACATCAATATTGTTGTCTTTATAAGCTTCAGTACAAGTCCATTGGGCCTCTTTTTTATATTATGTTGTTAGTGTGACAACACAATGAGAGAATCAACGTTATCTATTTCATCAGACTTATTTCTGTGTTTACAGGGTGTGATGACAGGTGGAGATTCTCTGACAGAGAAAGCAGCGGCCATTCTGCCACAGCCAAGTTCCAGCTCAGACATGACAAGCTCATTCTACAATAAACTTGGCAGCATGTCTGAACTATCGAGCTGGTTCTCTAATATTGGTGGGAGTACAAAGTAACAGTGTTTCAAGGAAAGTCTTAGAAATAGACCAGTCAAGTGTCAGACCTATCCAGCTTGTTGTTTAATACTGGCGGGATTACAAAGTTACAGCATGTTAGAAAGTCAGAGAAATAACCAGGGAAACAGACGTATACCTTAACTATCCAGCTGGTTCACTTAATATCAAGTGGAGCTACATTGTGTCAGCGAAAGTCGGAGAATCAGACTGGCAGAATATAAGATATACCTAGGCCTACAGCTGGAAAATACAATATTCTGACTGTTATGCTGGTTCTGTAATATTTGTGGGGTATATATGGGGAAACATCATTGATGTATTTTGTATCGGATGTGCCGTGATCCTGAAATAGTTTTCATTCTGTGCAGTTTATTTTCTCTTTCCATTTTTGTTGACTTATTCTTGGTGCAATGTTAATGTTTTTCAACATTTTTTGCACTTTCCCTTTGGTTAAGTGCATCTCAACACGTTTGGTTTCTTCCTTTTTCAAACAAATGTTTTAATGATAACTGTTTAATCAAAGTCCTTGTTCCATATTATTGGCAAGTGACAGAAATCTTTATTTAACAAAGTAATTGAGCACACATCCTTTAAAACAAAATGGGTTTTCAGATCAGATTTGAAAAGTAATTGCTTGTAGACTATTAGGATTTCTGGTGGGTATTCTGACGAGTTGGGTGTTCTGTGATAGCTCATTTTTTTTTCTAAATTCTGTTTTATGTGTAAGAAGATATTATTACCTCCAAGTTGCAAACTGATTTTAAAAAATCAGATTTATTGCCATAAGATCTTAAGCCAAAAAATTAAAAATTTTCTGACTGTGAGAAATAGAGTTATTTCCCTTTGTCTACCTGCTGTCATTACTAAATAAATGAATTGCAATTTTCGGGCAATATATTTTAACTTTATGAAGTTAAGGTCATTGGAATGTCTGTGAATCACCATTATAAACTTTAATTAATGACTTTATTCCTCCTGGTCCATGAACACAGTCAGTACGTTCAATGATAGTGTTCATTGTATAGTGTTTATTTATCTCTCTGTATTTGTAGGATATCTCCTGCTAAATCAATAACTAACAAATAATTAATCTGTACCCATCCTATAAATAAATAATCACCTGACAGCTAATTGTTTACCACTTCCTTGTAACCTTGTTTGGGTTGTTTTTATATTAACCATCGTCTACTGCTTGTCAAAAGATTTTTTGATTACTGTAAAGAGCGATGTTTTGTTTTTGTTTTATTTATTTTCCATATTTTCAGAGATGTAATAGAGTTATGAATTTATCTACCTGTTACCTTGAAAAAGGAGATTTGTAGAGATATTGAAATATGTGTTATGATTTCTGTGCAAGCATATATACCTGTTCTTTTTGGTTGAAACTTCTAAGTAACTGCAAAAATTTGCATTATTGAAAACTACGATCTATACAGTAGTTCTCAGCTTTCGGTTCATCCAAAGGTCTGCTGATAAACCATACCAGGTATTTCTGTTATCTTTTATTTTTAGTTAATTAGATATCCAAGGTGCAGTTATTTTCAGGTAAATACAATTCTCACGATGACTATCCAGATCTCAAGTTAAAGGAAACATGGACATGTATTCAGAAACAAGAAAAAAAATGATAGTGACATTTTGAACTACTCAATCAGCATGTAAAGTGTAGTCTATAAGTTAAAATGATTTGAGGATATTCCATAGAGAGCTGTGATAAAACTGTCATTGACACATGTATGTGATAAATTTCTATATTTAAAAAACAAAAATGACTTGCAGTATACAGGGAAACATTTGCCCGGGCCACCCCCTCTCCCTCCCAACCAAGCATTGCCCTTAAGTACACACAAACACACATTTCAAATCTGTCTTCCAACATTTACATTTATTTTTTACTTTCTGACAAAAACACCAAAATGGCCTAAAGTAAAGCTGTTGTGACTGTGTCCTTGTACATTGTATTTCAACATCTGTGCTACATATATTAGTTTTTTATTTGAATTATGTATTACTATTTCCATGCATCCTGTATGCATGTGAGGGAGAAATATTTTTTCTTGTAATTGTTTATTTACATGTCAATAAAATGTAACAGCTGATTGTATTATTGTTGTTAATGGGATTTTTTGTTGGATTTACAAGCAGTCAAATCTGAACTTGTTCAAATAAGTTCACTTCACTAACTATAAACACACACAGTTGGCCAGATGTGTCATAGTTCCTGAAAAGCCACATGTCCTGATGGTTTGTCTTATAACTGCTAATTTGTTAGTCAATTCATTTTGTTCCATAGCCTAGTTGATATTAATAAGACTAAACTCTATTTGATCACCTTTATTGAAAACTAAGAAAAAATTATTATCTCAATTATGATTACCACATGTCTGCAATGCTTTCACCATTCAATCAAAATAAGATCGACATTATGATAATCTCTGGCATATCAACCCCCAATGATATCTAACAAAGTATTAACAGTTACGATTAGATGCCGAATACAAGATGCACCTTTGTAATCCTTAGTTATGTTTACCACACCTATTGTGATACAGTCAGATTTGCCTTTAAAAGCCATGCAAAAGAGGAAGGAAGTGGCTTTATACACAGGTGGCCTTTGTATAGAGGTTCATTTACTATCTAAACTATCTAACTTCCTCAGAAAGGTTCCGTGTCAGTGATAGAAACTTCCTCACAAAGGTTCCGTGTCAGTGATAGAAACTTCCTCACAAAGGTTCCGTGTCAGTGATAGAAACTTCCTCACAAAGGTTCCGTGTCAGAGATAGAAACTTCCTCACAAAGGTTCCATGACAGTGATAGAAACTTCCTCAGAAAGGTTCCGTGTCAGTGATAAGAACTTCCTCAGAAAGGTTCCGTGTCAGAGATAGAAACTTCCTCACAAATGTTTCGTGTCAGAGATAGAAACTTCCTCAGAAAGGTTCCGAGTCAGTGATAAGAACTTCCTCAGAAAGGTTCCGTGTTCGATATCAGAATGTCCTAAGAAACGCCCCGTGTCAGAGATCAGAACTACTTCAGAGAGGTTCCATGTCAATGATAAAAACTTCCTCAGAACGGTTCCGTGTCAGTGATAAGAACTTCCTCAGAACGGTTCCGTGTCCGATATCAGAATGTCCCAAGAAACGCCCCGTGTCAGAGATCAGAACTACTTCAGAATGGTTCCGTGTCAGAGGCGGATCTTCCCCAAAATGACGCCAGTGGTGGGAATTTTCCCATTAAGTTTCGTGTCAATGGTGAGAACTAGGGTCAGAACTCGGAACTTCTCCAGTAAGGGTCTTGTGTCGGGGCGGGAACTTTGCTAGAAAGAGGGTTCCGTGTCCGATATCAGAATTTCCTCAGAAAAGTTCCGTGTCAGAGTTCAGAACTTCCTCCGTGTCAGTGATAGAAACTTCCTCAGAAAAGTTCCGTGTCAGTGATAGAAACTTCCTCACAAGGGTTCCATGTCAGTGATAAGAACTTCCTCACAAAGGTTCCGTTTCAGAGATCAGAACTACTTCAGAATGGTTCCGTGTCAGAGGCCAGGGGTGGGAATTTCCCCATTAAGTTTCTTGTCAATGGTGAGAACTAGGGTCAGAACTCGGAACTTCTCCAGTAAGGGTCTTGTGTCGGGGCGGGAACTTTGCTAGAAAGAGGGTTCCGTGTCCGATATCAGAATTTCCTCAGAAAAGTTCCGTGTCAGAGTTCAGAACTTCCTCCGTGTCAGTGATAGAAACTTCCTCAGAAAAGTTCCGTGTCAGTGATAGAAACTTCCTCACAAAGGTTCCGTGTCAGAGATAGAAACTTCCTCACAAGGGTTCCATGTCAGTGATAAGAACTTCCTCACAAAGGTTCCGTTTCAGAGATCAGAACTACTTCAGAATGGTTCCGTGTCAGAGGCCAGGGGTGGGAATTTCCCCATTAAGTTTCATGTCAATGGTGAGAACTAGGGTCAGAACTCAGAACTTCTACAGAAAGGGTCTTGTGTCGGGGCGAGAACTCTGCTAGAAAGAGGGTTCTGTGTCAGAGATGGGAATTTCCCCTAGAAAGGACTTGTTTCGGGGTTTGAGCAGATATAGGGGGTTCCTTGCGAAGGCCGGAATTATAAATTTACAGTTTACTGTCCTTGGTAGGTTCTGTATTACAAAATGTAGACAAATGTCAATTACAAGTAAAAGAGAAGACCACATTCTAAGCAATACGGATACTACTTGTATGCCCACAGTTGCTTGGGTTTCACTTATAAAAGGGACATTTTTCTGTTAATTGTTCTTATTTTCTCCCAAAACCCAAACAATTGTTTTATGACCATCGTTATGATTATTGTCCTATCTTCGATAATGGGAGACCCGGCGCGCGCACTCTCGGTCATATTTATGAAATTAAGACTGAAGTTTCACTGTAACAAGTAAATCATTTCACAGCCGAATTCTGTCTTTAAAACGTCAGAAGATCGTGGGAAATACATGTTTTTTTTTTGTTTTGTCTAGATTAGTAATACCAAACTAAGTGTGACAGAAAGGATCTCGTGGTCATCAAGAAACCTGTTTCAACCGAATGTCATCGAAGGCATCCGGAATAGACAGGTTTCCACTATAGACTTTGGTTAACAATGAAACATTATCTTCTTCACGGCAACTGCGAAACAAGCTATAACTTACGCTAATTGCCCTTTGCTCCATGTTAAATACCAGGGGATTCTTACTGAAGGAAACTGGAGTACCCGTGGAAAGCCCACGTGGCCGACAGGTGACCCCAAACCCTTCCACGGTCCGAAACGGAATAGGAGTGTATAGACAGTAAGGCACAAGTCTGCTTATACAGGTTTTCAGGTTACACGTGTGTTTGATTTACATAAGAGGTGAACATAGCAGAAATGGACCACTTCAAAAGTAAATTTGTTTCGTCTAATAGTTATATGTATACAAAATAGTAGCTAACAAATAAACAAAGTGTGCGGCAGAAGTTCCGAGGAAAGCTGATTCCTAGTCCAAAGTTTGGTTATCTTCACCACAACGCAGCCACAGTCTGGTACGCGTGTTTAAACCATTTGTTCTAAAAATTAAAGTAGTAATTTACAAAAATTATCATCTCAACGAAAACCAAACAAATATTAGATGTACTTTTGAGATGAACCTACCACGGGTTTAACGGACATACACTGTAGAGCTAATTACGATGTTTGATATGGTAAATGTGTATAAGGTTCGTGGTATAATCTAAGTCTGTGGTTGTTCAACAGTATTGATGTAAACACAAAGTAACTTTTGTAAACATTGTTTCCTTGGTCCATCCCAACGGAACAACCAGCATCAGAACTATAGATAAGTTGTAGCGTACGTATTTAGTCTACAATCATCTCTTTATATAAATATTGCAACAAGTTTGAATTTCAAAAAACGCTGCACTCCCTTTTCTATCAACGTGTCAGTTTGTGAAATTCGATGCCTTTTAAGACAACATCTCGGCGCCTTGTCCAACTTGCAGACGTTTTTTTTTTTGTGGAAAAAAATCATGTCAGTAGATTTTAGCGCGCGTGTGATTCCAAACAAAGCGACGGCTTGAGAAACGTTTTATGTGTTGGATTGTTTGAGTGGTTGAACTGAATATTTGTACGGTTGTTTAGCCAATCAGAGACGTTGTGACTGTTGCTGAAGCAGACGGTCAAGTTGTCATTTGGTGTTCACATATGAGATATAGAGCGATAGAATACATTATCCATAACACACCGCTCCCCGTTAACAGTTACACCGGAGTCTATAAAGTACAATAACCGACAGGATATATATGTTGACCAGCCAAGCGGAACGCAACAAAAGTATTTGTATATCTGTTTTATTTTAAAAAGCTAGGGGAGTGTATACTTGACATACTTCACAAAGCGAAACTTCGTTAACTATGTGACGTCACATGGGCTTTCGATCGATGCACGTGCTGGCTGTGCTCTGTAGAGTCGGTGATTTCGATTCATTTAATTGCTGTCATTTTAATTGGATTATAAATGTTTGTCCGGAGGCAAGGATAAACTCTAATATTTGCGGATGAGAGGTAAGACTTTAACTATTTAACATTCCACGGTGGCTAGTTTGGGTGTCTCTAAGCCTCTCAATGCAAATGTGTGGGTATATGGACATTCCGCAGAGGCAATCAGCTGTGTACTTCAATTGACAAGCAATTTGTTAACGAATTTTCGGAGCCCATCTTTTATCGGCACGCGACTTCCGTTTACTCCCTTACTCAATAACCACATGGCGAAAATCTGTCTGATCTGACACCAGGTGAGAAGGCAGACGGCCGAGTTTAACTCAATGTTTACCTGGAGCAGACGACAGGAGATCTAGAATCGTGGCAGCTTCAAGTAGCCCCCAGCAAATGAGTAATCACGGTGTTGGACATCTGTTGCCAGTACACATCATCGATCTACCGTTGATATGGAAATTTTACCTATATTTTGATATCTTCGCGGAATTTCTCAGATAAACATCATTTGGACATCAACTGGACTTTCACACATAAACAACATTTTACCTACAGCAATGGATACACTGAGATCATATTTTAACAAATTTAAGAAGTTTCCAAGTGTTTCTTCATCAAGTGGTTCAATGGATTTGAAGTCATCAGAAAAACTTATAAGGCAAGGAAGTCTTGGAAGAATGACAAAAACTCCAAGGTTCAGATTTAGTTCTGAACATAAAACACATGCCCAAGATGAAAATACAACAGTCAATGGGAAAGCTAAATTATTTAATACAGAGACGGAGGCTGTCATGTTAGAGAAAGGTAGAGTATCAAGTTTAAAGAGGATTTATGAGAAAAGGGACAAACCACGAGAAAAAACACCACCCCCAGCTAAGCCTCCAAGAAAAGATCAGATTTTTAAAGTAGAGTTTGAGAAAACCAATGGACAAGACCTTGGAATTATTCTAGATGCTGGAGATATTCAGGAGTTAAATGGAAGTGTGAATACTTCAGATAAAAATGGTTTTCAACGGACAGAAAGTCGATTAAAGAGTGACAGTTACGTGGGATGTGTGAAGGAGGGCATCACTTTATATAGGCAAAACGTGAATGTGGTAAAAGTAGTTTTAATTAAAGATGGAAGCCTAGCTCAGAAAAATGGCTTGATACAGGTCAATGATGAAATCCTGGCAGTGAATGAATGGCCTTTGGAAAAGGAAACAATTAATAGCGCAAGGTGAGATAAAGCATTGCCTTCTGGCTCCATGTTAGCCAGCTGTATAACCCACCACACTAATTATCAAACCCAGTAATCTCTAGTGTAACACTACCACACCAGCAAGTGTTCAGAACATATACTACCATACCAGTGTCTTTGATTGACACCCAATAATTAACTGAGGTAGGTCAGACAAAAATACAATTTATATGTAGCTTGCATGGCCTTGACCTTGTATCCCTAATACACTTTCAATGTTAAGCAATAATTTTTAGCTAGGTGTTGTTTTATTTAAGTACAGGATGGCCAAAAAAGCTTTTTGTAAAAGTTTCACATTATGGTAATAGATATTTAAAACACATGATATGTACATGTACTGCATCGTTAATATAAGGATTAGCTATCAAACATGACAGCCCCAGAAATGTAGTTTTATTACAACTGACACAAATTTATTATTGTATTAATACTATAAAAGCAATGAATTTGAATAAGGAGTCATAAACTGAACTTTTTATATCATTTCTAAGACATCAGCAAATCAGCATCTGTTTAAATGTGAAATTTGGTCTTTTTGCTGTTGTGCTAAATCACTTACAACATCAACTTATAACATTCATAGTTTTCCTGTGAAGAAGTCAAACTGTTTTGAGAAAACTGAAGTTTTATTTATATGGATACTTTTTTGAAATGCATGTACCATCTGACCTATAGAACCTCATAAAAATGAAAACAGATAATTGCTGTAGAGACCTGCAGATGTCTGAGTGTTTTATGATGGTGGGTGGGATAGGGGGTGACGGCCATCTTCTGTGCAGTATGTTTAGATTGCTGAATAGGTTAAGTGGGAAAGGGGGTGGGGCATTACAGGGAGCCAACATTGGTGCCACTCTGATATCCCAAGTAATTGCAGTCATAGGCAATAGGTGTGTTCATGATGATAAAAACTATTTGTTGTTTTCAAAATGAATCCATATCTAGTGTCCCAGCAAGTGTGTGTCTGGTGCACCAATCAATGTGTGTCTGGTGTCCCTGATGGTGTGTATCCCTGTCAGTGTGTATCTTGTAAGTGTGTATCTGAGGTTGTGTATCTGGTGCCCCTATCTGTGTAGTGTGTATGTGTATCTGATGTCCCTGTGTGTATCAATGTCCCTGTCAGGGTGTATCTGATGTCCCTGTCAGTGTGTATCTGGTGCCCCTATCAGTGTGTATCTGATGTCCCTGTCAGTGTGTATCTGGTGCCCCTATCAGTGTGTATCTGATGTCCCTGTCAGTGTGTATCTGATGTCCCTATTAGTGTGTATCTAATGTCCCTGTCAGTGTATCTGATGTCCCTGTCAGGGTGTATCTGATGTCCCAATCAGTGTGTATCTGGTGCCCCTATCAGTGTGTATCTGGTGCCCCTGCCAATGTGTATATGATATCCCTGTCAGTGTGTATCTGATGTCCCTGTCAGGGTGTATCTGATGTCCCTGTCAGTGTCTGATGTCCCTGTCAGTGTGTATCTGATGTCCCTGTCAGTGTCTGATGTCCCTGTCAGTGTGTATCTGATGTCCCTGTCAGGGTGTATCTGATGTCCCTGTCAGTGTCTGATGTCCCTGTCAGTGTGTATCTGATGTCCCTGTGTATCTGATGTCCCTGTCAGTGTCTGATGTCCCTGTCAGTGTCTGATGTCCCTGTCAGTGTCTGATGTCCCTGTCAGTGTCTGATGTCCCTGTCAGGGTGTATCTGATGTCCCTGTCAGTGTCTGATGTCCCTGTCAGTGTGTATCTGATGTCCCTATCAGTGTGTATCTGATTTTCCATTCAGTTTGTATCTGGTTCTCCGTCAGTGTGTATTGGGTTTCCCTGTTGGTTTGTATCCCCCCTGTAATTCAGTGCCCCTGTTAGTGTGACTCTGAATGCTCATATGCTGCTCATGTAATTCTGTGTTTACTATCTGTAATTATGAATCTGGTGCCCGGGGTGCCATCACAGTATAACTTGCTCTGATCAGTCATCAGATTCCAGCTGTGGTGAAATATCAAATCAGTCATTCAGAATTAAACAGGTCACTGATGCTGGCAGAAATACATGCATCAATTCTCATTTTGACAGGAGAAAGAATGATACATGGGCAGGTTTATGGCCATTCAGATTACCCTCTAGATGGTTAAACAAACCTGACCCTTTGAACTGGTGCAGTAATCTTGTTTTTATGTATGAATTGGCTACTAAGGTCAATATATAACTGTTTTATGTGTCTGACCAAAGTCAGTTCTAAAACTGTAATGTAGTGAGGGGCAGATGGTGTAGTTCACTTTTGTGGTTTGAAAATTTTGCTGTCATCCATATATGCAGAACTGAAATTTAGATGAGAAGTAAGTTATTGTTTTGTATCTTAAATATTAAGATTTTGATAATGCCTCATGTGGCCCGATCAGAGTTTTTGGCCTCTTTCTGTCCCATCTGATAGCTAGTCAATTTTTCTTCCTTGTAGCATCTGTTCCTAGCTGTATAGTTTACAAAATATTATAAACTACACTACATATATCTAACACAAATACATACAATATATCTGATACACACATTTGTATCTGATCTAATGTTGTAAAATATCTGATACAAACTACATGGTATCTGATACAAAGATATAAACTACACTACATGGTATCTGATACAAACTACACTACAGGTTATCTGATACAAACTACACTACAGGATATCTGATATAAACTACACTACAGGGTATCTGATACAAACTACAGGATATCTGATACAAACTACACTACAGGTTATCTGATACAAACTACACTACAGGGTTTCTGATACAAACTACACTACAGGATATCTGATATAAACTACACTACAGGGTTTCTGATACAAACTACACTACAGGATAGCTGATACAAAGATATAAACTACACTACAGGGTATCTGATACAAACTACACTATAGGATATTTGATACAAACTACACTACAGGTTATCTGATACAAACTACACTACAGGATATCTGATACAAACTACACTACAGGTTATCTGATAAAAACTACACTACAGGATATCTGATATAAACTACACTACAGGGTATCTGATACAAACTACACTACAGGATATTTGATACAAACTACACTACAGGTTATCTGATACAAACTACACTACAGGATATCTGATACAAACTACACTACAGGATATCTGATATAAACTACACTACAGGGTAGCTGATACAAAGATATAAACTACACTACAGGTTATCTGATACAAACTACACTACAGGTTATCTGATACAAACTACACTACAGGATATCTGATATAAACTACACTACAGGGTTTCTGATAAAAACTACACTACAGGATAGCTGATACAAAGATATAAACTACACTACAGGGTATCTGATACAAACTACACTACAGGATATTTGATACAAACTACACTACAGGTTATCTGATACAAACTACACTACAGGATATCTGATACAAACTACACTACAGGATATCATATAAACTACAGGGTAGCTGATACAAAGATATAAACTACACTACAGGTTATCTGATACAAACTACACTACAGGGTATCTGATACAAACTACAGGGTATCTGATACAAACTACACTACATATGGTATCCCACTACAGGAAGTCTTCTGCAAGATACAAGACATTTGATATTGTTTATTGACCTAGATCTTGTGATGTTATCCTCATCAACACCTCCTTGGTGTACAACTTGTTCCATAACCTGCTTGACCTGCGGATAAGGTCTTTGGTTCAGGCCAGTAAAACAAGCTGCCTTAACAAGGTTCTCAACCTGGTTTCTATTCAAGCTGTCAAAAGAAAATTATTTTCTAAATGTGTTTTTGCATATCTGAATATGCCTTGTAAATTCTGATTTGTTTGTCGGCACATGACATGACATTGTTTCCTGTTTTGGGATGTCTAAATATTTCCATGAAGATGTTAAGATAAATATGAATATGTCATTGTGAGAGCACTATTAGCAATAGTTATGTTACTTGTATCATTTAAGCAAGTCAGTTAAAAACAGGCAAGCAAAGTCAAATCTCATGAGCATCAGGTAGTTTATGAATAAGTCAGTTGCTACGATAAAATCTAACTGCTGTCTAACCCAAAACGTGATTTGTTGATAAAATATGCTAATTAAAATAATCACATTACAGGTTATTGAGCATTTTCTGATGGTTTGGTCGTAAAATGATGACTGTTAAATTGGTATATTTAGCTTGTCATGTATTCTCAATATCATGTAACCATATTTTAATTCACAGTAAAAAAAAAAAAGACTTTTGATCAAAAATGTAATAGTTAGATGGGACAGCCGTTTGATAGATGCAAAGTCACTGTGTGTTGGTGGCATTAACAGTCTGCCAAATGCGGCTTCCAAGGGACTTAGTCAGGAGTGTTTACAGGCAGACACACTCAGGAGAACACCCCATCAAAGAGATACATAAATGAGTTCGGCTTATCCTGAAATATGATGAATGAAGTTGTAGGGTTTGTAAAGTACTTTAGAGATAGTCCAGAATGGGAGATCATTGAACCCAATTGTAATCCTATCCCCTAGCTGATGTTTGCTGTATAGGAACATGTTCATGGAGAAACTGAACATTGTCCAAAAATCAGGAACATAGTGGATGTCAGCAAATGTTGACTTTTGATGTTCATGTTCTATTTGATAATTAATGTTGTGTTTAGCATGAAATGATCGACAATAGTAGAGATAAAAATGTGAATTTTGATGTCTTTGTGTGGTACATCAAATATTTCAAAGGTATCATTGTACACTTTCAATTGTACAAACAGATAAGAAAAGGAACATCTTTGTTTACATTGGTTGGTACATAATGATATAAAAGAAAAATCTATCGACCTCACAGCTGCTTTTGTTTGTCTCTGTACCTGGCCAAAAACTACCCTAGTACTACAGAAGCACTCTGCACTCTGCTGCTATAAGAAGGTTACCAAGTTCAGCAAACCGTTTCAAAAGAAAACATAAAATGCTTTTTGGCATTTTACATCTA